GGGGGGGGGCATACTGACATTGATCAAGATGGAACTAGTCGTATTAAAACAAAAGTAGCATTTCATTTTTTTATCACATCGATTGCCCATTGCCTACCTGCCCATTTATGAAGAATGTAAACCCACAGTTGAATGGATCTCTACTTAAACTATGATTATTAAAAAAAAATCCACCCAATAAGTTTTTAACCTTCTAATTTGGCCATTATTTGCATAGCTATTTTTCAACTTCAAGATGAACTCTTATCCACCATCAAACTAGATGCAGCAAAATCAGATGGTTATTTCTTTCATTCATCCCCATTTTTTGGCCCAGCTGATCTTCTAGGTAGATTGCACCTTACTCGGTAGAAAAATCAGGAAATTTTCTATTTGAGATACAATCCAATAGTCTTAATTTTATTGGCTACTCAACTCAAGTTTAAAACCTCAAGAAAATTTTCAATTGACTAGATGACATTCTAATAAGTTTTATCTAGTATTTCACTTGTTTCTTTCTATGATTGGGAAGTTCCATTAACATTATTTGTTTTATATTTATTCAGGTTAGAAGACAGTCCTACACTGAATTGGAAATCTTCAGAAGTAGATGGGAAAAGGCAGTAGAGGGTGACAAATGTTGGATTGATCCATATAAAAAACCAGCAAAACAGAGCAGCCGTTAGTGTATGTAAAAGCTGTTATTACCTTACAGAGACTGGCTGTTAGTAATATTCAAAAGCATGTTGTATGTTCGTTCACACCGAACTAGATGGATCCATCAGATGGCCGGAACAATTCCATTCCAGCCAATAGTTATATCTTAGATTGGTCAACAGCATATGTGGATTATTTGTATGCAAATATGGAAATGCTAATTGGGATTTGTCTTCCCTGAGTGCTGATATAGATTGTATCACTTTTTTTATGATATGATACTAATTCTAATCAGATGAACCACAAAATATGTAATTGTCATGATACTAGGACTTGATAACCTTTTCTTGGGAGGTAACTTGGAGTGTGAAAAGGCACTTTTGGATGATTATTCTTTATTCATAGTACCTCGAGGTGGATTTGAAGCAAGATATTTGTGAATCATTTGAGCTCAGCTTGCGAAAAGCTCAATTCAGTTCAGTCCAAATTGAGTTTCGAGCTAAGCTCAAGCCCAATATATAGGTTCTATGCTAATCAAGCTGAGCTCAAATGGTATGAAACTCGGCTAATGAAGTTCACCAAAATAATCAAGCTATGTCTCTTTTTAGATTGATGAGAGCTGGCAATTTGATGTATTTTTGTAGTTTTTAAATGTTAAACAAGCAGGACAAATATTGAGTTGAAGCTCTAATTTGAGCTTGAGTAGGCTTGGCTCACTATCGAGCTCAAACATATAAACTTTTGAGTCAAGTTGAATTTGAGCTACTTCTACTGATACCTTTTGAAGTAATTGCAATTTTTAGTACTGACCTCATAACCCTGTCTTGGTTAAAATAAAAGCCAAGCAAAATAAATTACCCCAGTGCAAAGTTCAAAGTATCGACACGAACCCATTATTTTATCGTATCATATCAGCATGGTGCCAATATGCCTTTTTTAATGTTAACACCCAAACCCATTATTTTATATGTTAATCTATGTTTAAACCTACCCCTCAAACCTGCTATTGAAAAAATAAATAAAAAAATAAAAAGCATGTAGTACAAATACCGATACACCCCTTTCATCATATCAGGGTGTATCGATACCTTAAACCGTGCTCTAGTGATAAAATGGAGCTTCACTTTTACAGACTAGCTTTACATGGTCTAGCCTTCAAAGCAACTCCATTTGTTCAAACTAGACAGATTTTCTTTTTCCTCAGTGATTTGGCAAGAGCACTAGGATGGATTAGCTTTTGGAGCTTTACCTAGGCTGGAAAAACGTTGGCTGTTGGAGGCCAACAGCCTATGCTGTTGAGAATATTTTTGGAAATGCCACACATTATCATGAGAGTGGGGTTAAAATAGTAATTCCCCTTATTTCCTTTTGACAAAAAACATAGACATGGGTGCGAATTGGTGAATCATGAATGTGTCCAGTCCAAAAATGCTCTCAACAGCATAGGCCAAAAAATTAACTCACCTAGGCTTACCTTATATCAATGGCCAATTTGCTCAAGTCGAGAGAGAGGAGAGAGGAGAGAGGAGGGGAAGGTTCAACTCCATTTAGATTATGTGGCTCATTTATCCAAGTTTTGTAAATAAAAGAATGGTGAGAGGAATAAGTAACTACAGTAAAATGGAAGGAGGTTAAGGTGAAGTTATGCTAAAAAAGAGAATTGGAATCTGCACCAAACAAAATCTGTCCCAACACAATTCCAACATGATCTATGTAGCACATCATGAGACTGGAACCCACCATGTTTGAGATAGTGGACACAAATCATATAGGAACGTTTAGGAATGGTTTTTGGTTGGGAGCAAATCCAGCCTCACAAAATTATGCAGGCACCGAAAGTAAAGATCAAGAAAACATTGACAAAGCATATCAAATTATTGGACATTAACCAGAAGAGCAAGAAACAAGAAAAATTCTAACCGTTCAAGAATTAACAAATTAAGGATTTCAAAACTTCTATGGGTGGATGGGGGGAGGTCTCAAACTAAGGTAAAGAGGTCTCAAACCTCTTTGGTCGTTTTCACCGACATGAAATTCTTCCCAAGGGAAGGGTTAATAGAGAACAAGAAGCAAGTATCACCAGATACTTCTTTTAGTCTTATTTATCATGTCCTGTCACCTTCAACTCAGGTTTGCTAGCCCACTTTAGATAATTTAGACCATTTAGAGGAGTGACGGTAACTGTAGGTCTTTACTGTGCACCTATGTGCACTCATAGGTGTATTGGACACGTGAACCCACCAATAAGAAGCTACTACATAGCATTTTGAATTTTGGTTTTATTTAACGAGGTTTTTACCATTAACAACGAATCCAGTTGAACCAGATACAAAAGGATAAAAAATACATTAAATTCATTCAAACTCTCTCTTCCTCCTCTCCTCCACCGAGCCCTAACCCAAAAACCATGGTTTTTAAGCCATCGTTGACTTAGACGGTTAGATCGTTCAGCCCGAGGACCATCTAAGCAATCGGTTCTGTTTTACTCTAAACCTAGTCTTTGGTCAAAAACCATTGAAAAAGTCAACAATCCATTGACTCGGACAGTCAAACTGTCAACCCGTTGACCCATTTAACGGTTTTTTGTCATTTTTATTTTTTATTTTTTTGTCAAAACGGACTGACCATTTGAACCGGAGGATCGAACCGTCGACCCAGAAACCGATGGCCATATCCCACATCCCATCGGCAATCTCACTTTACACCGGCATTCATGGACGCGAAATCCACCGGCGGCGCTCTAGCGGTAAGCAGAGAATCTACTTTCTTCTTCTTCTTCTTCCCATTACTCTTCCTCTGCTCCTTCCTCTTCTTCCTCTCCTTCCTCTTCTTCCAATCTTCTTTAAACTCCCTCTTCCTCCTCTCCTCCACCAAGCCCTAACCCAGAAACATCTCACATCCCACATCCCACCGGCAAGGGTAAAACAAGCTTTCATGTTGCCAGCATCTACACACTGTTTTAAGAATCAATTAGACGATTCAGACCATTTTGGCTTTCACGAAAAAGGTTTTTAGAGAGGCTTTTGACAATACAAGAGAATGAAGACATAAATTGTGAAATCAGAGATCAGAGTAAAAATCAAAAGGTTTATCACTAATTACTTTTAAAGCAATAAAATCAAAAGGGAAAAATCAGAGACCAGAGGAAACAAATCCCTCTTCCTGTATTTTTTTCATCCCAGTAAGGTTACTAGAAAGAGATGCAACCATTAATCAGGCCGTTAGGGAGAGAGAGATTAATAAGAGCATTGATAAAATTGAAAGGACATGCAGCAATGGAACCGAGCTTGCATAAAAGAGTTCGCATTCGGGAAGCGTGAACTCATAAAAGAGGAAGAAGAATAAGATTGGAAGAAGAGGAATAAGGAGAGGAGGAAGAATAATGCGAGGAAGAAAAAGAAGAATATTGACCACTTACCACCGGACCACCGCTAGTGGATTTTGCGTCCACGAACACCGGTGTTCGATAGTCGATAGTCCATAGTCGATACCATCTCAAGCAATCTAAAAGCTTAAGCCAGTGAGATCCTTAAACATGAATAAGGTTTTTATTCTCATCACTTGTAACAAAACATCAATTGCGAAACAGCCAAAGCTTTCCAAAAATAAAATTGCTCACGTGATCCAAAGTTTCAAACCACCATACAGGTCTGAGAAAAGATTTTGCACATGCCTAGGTTTTACAGGACAAATAATTTAAAAGAAAGAGGATGTAGATTTGATAAGACCAAATTTTTCCTATTTATTTGCCCCACGAATGAAAAAAAATCCCAAGAGGATAAGAATGGAATAAAGTCTCAAAGTGCCATGATCAAATCTAGTTCTCCATACCATTTTGTAAGTACTAATCTTGTAGAAAAGTGTGTGAGAGAAAAAGAGACAAAAGAGAAGAATATCTAGTATCCATGGTCAAAAAAGTGAGTGAACAAAAGCCCCTCTTATCATTTATACTAGGCATCATAAGCAAAGGACAAAAATGCCCCTAACATTGAGTCGTACATATATACTATACATAACTATAAGGCCCTGTTTCACTTTTCGGTAAGTTATTTACCTTGGTAAATGTACTTACATGAGTAAGTATTTCCCAGGAAAAACTTACCCAGGTAAGTGCCTTTACCCATGTTTTTTTGTTTTCCAGTTAAATAAAGTAATGATCATTTTAGCCATAATAATTCATTATTAAAAGGGGTATTTTTGTCCCATTCAAGTGTTAGTGACTTTCCCCTAAGTGGGAAAGCTATTTATCCACCTAAGAGTTGGGTACCTGGAAAATAAGCTTTCCCTGATCCCCACACAAATCTGAAAAATGAACATGGGTTTCTTGGTCAATGAGAATCAAAATCCCATCGACTTTCCCCCTTTCAAAATCCAGAAAAAGGATGCCCCTAACTATAAAACATAAACAAACAACTACCTAAAGGTTTGCCATTGGTTGAGAATAATATGTTCTTTAGGGATGCAAACGGATCGACTTAGATTCAAAACAGGGTATATTCCAATCCGATCCCAAGATTCGATTGAATCTCACAAATATTGATCCGGATTCGAATATGATAAGGATGTTTGATATCCTAATTTGATACCATCCAATTTAATTTAAAAAATAATAATAAATTATTAAAATAAAAAGAAAATATAACAGTTTAAGTAAAGAAAAACAAAAAATAAAACTATTTTTTCAACTATTTTCATCATATATATACATATTTTTATAGAAAAATTTTATAAAAAGTTTACAAAAATGTAATATAAATAGCATATATATATTAATAATGTCATTTTCTCTAAGTGATCATTAAACCAATAACTAATGATAAATATAGTACAAGGGCATTCAAAGAAACAACTACCAATGGTGCATGTGATTGTACAAAGTAATATTTTCTTATGCAACTATAAAAAGTGGGAACAACTCATTTAAGGCATCTTGACTTTTCTTGAAGGTTCAAAACTTGAAAATAAACTAAAAAACAAAAAAGTGCAAGGTTCAGAGTATTTATACGCCCCCTTCCAATACATTAGGGTATGTTGATATTTTATACCTCAACTAAAATACCATTCTTTTTGAATTTGGTTTTCTCTTTATTGTGAATGCATAAATTGTAATTTGAATACTACTTTTTATTTCATTCTATTTCTTCTTATTAATTATCATATTTAAGATAGTAACTTCATTTCTCTCTCATTGAATCTTATATTTAAGATATTTTATTTCTCATCATTACATTCCAGTAATCAAATCCATGTACAGTAATTTTAATAGTATAAAAATGTAAGTTTTTTTTTAAAAAATTCACCTAAAATAAAACCATTTTTAGGTAGTAGGTAAGTAGTTCAACCATTTGGGTAGAATAGGTGAGCCCTTGATGCCACAATTAAATAATAAAATTTTAAAAATAGGTGGGCCCTCTTATTAAATCCCATATTTAAGATGTTAACTTCATTTCTCTCTCATTGAATCTTACATTTAAGTATTTTTGTTTCTCATCATTACATTCTAGCAATCAAACCAATGTATAATAATTTTAGTAGTATAAAAAGAAATGTAATTTTTTTAAAATTAACCTAAAATTAAAAGCATTTTTTAGGTGGTAGGTAAATAGTTCAACCATTTAGGTAAAATAGGTGAACCATTTATGCCATAATTAAATAATAGAAATTTAAAAATAGATAAATACAAAAAATAAAAAATGGGCACATATATTTGTAATGTGAAACAAAAATAAGTAATGATAAATAATAAGTATTTTATGAATGATAGAAATTAGATACAAAATTTAAGACCAACCTATGTTTGGGTGGTAGGTTAGTGGTTTAACCATTCGGGGCAAATTGGTCAACCTATGATGTCATATTTAAATAATAATAAGTTTTAAAAATATATATATTCAATAAACTTTAAAATAATTTTTGTAAAAAAATATGGGCACATTTATACGTTCATCATATTAAAAGACAAATGTGATAAAAAAAATATTTTATTATTAAAGATGGAAATGGAATACAAAAGTTAGGAAAAAAAAGAGAATTAATGTCTAACACATGACCCCAACCATGTCAAATGGTTAAATGGTTCAACTAACCAAGTCACCATGTTGTTGACAGAAGAAATGGTTCGATGGTTCAACCAGTAAGCTCATTTGGTTGTTAATTAAGTCAATGTTTTTTTTTTTTTTAAACAAAGCAATTTGAATTGAAAAACACAGTTTTAGAAAAATTGGACCAGATCAACCGATTGAAGTAGATGAATTGTGACCCATGCACCTGGCCAGCTTAGTCATATCCCTAAAATAAAAAGTCACAAAAAAAAAACTACTTAAAATTGTTGACCTGATTGGTCAAACTGAAAAACCAATGAATGGGTCCCGATTTTTGTAAATTGGCCAATTTTTTGAATCTCTTTTGAAACATAAATGCAAACTTCCAAAGGCACCTTCCACCACTGTTTTTGCCAAAAAAACGTCTTTTTTGGCTTCAAAACTTAATTTTTAATTGAAACTATAATTAAAAAATATGTTATATATTTTTAATATATGTATATAATTAATATTATTATGTATTGACATTATGTCCTCATGGTTCGTTGAACCTCTAACCTGTAAACCTCTTCCTTTTTCAGGTTATGCCTAGTGCAATTATCTTAACACTAATAAAAATGGTCATTTACTAGAACACCCCTTATAGTTTCACACATTTACTTAAACATACCCTATAGTTTGTATTTTACTAAAACACCCCTTATAGTTTATAACCTATTTACTTAATCGATCTTTCATTATGAAAATAGTAACATGATCACCTAAACTAGGTGGAAAATGTTTAAGGGCATGGACCCATGATTGTTTATTTCAGAAGTCCCCCTAAACTGAGTGGAAAATATTCAAGGGTAAGGATCATGGTTGTTTATTCCAAAAAGTACCCCTAACATTTTTTTTTGTATAGAAAACAAAATTGATCAAATTGAGAAAGATATAGTGCTTGTCCATGTTTAATAGGGGCAAAAATGGAATTAATTTGAACGGATTTTAGTGTTAATATTATCATTTTCAACTTTCATCCAATGGAAGGTTGATTAATAAATTGATTGCAAACTATAAGGATGTTTTAATAAAAGACAAACTATAAGGATGTTTTAGTAAAAGACAAACTATAATATAAGTTTTAGTAAATTCTTGAAATCATAGGAGGTGCTTTAGTAAATAACCCTAAAAAAAGTGGAGTTTTATCAAGCCTCGCTGCCTCGTCCCTCGGGTCCTTGGTCTGGGAATGGTTCTGTCAGGAAATGAGCCAAACTCAATTTGGGCCCTAAAATTTAGCTCTGTTCAGCCCTGGATCGGGCTGGGCGGGCCCTACTTCGAGCAAGGCCGTGCGGGTTCTGACTTCTGAGTCGACTTGAGCCAGGTTTGAAACTGATACTCTTGTAGAAGTGAAGCCTCTCTCGAACCCTAAATAGAACCAGTCAACCAGGTACTTTCTCTCGATCTCTCTATCTTGCTTTTGGTCCCCCTATCACACGTTCTTTCTCTGCTCTTCCGATTTCTCTCCCTCTCTCACCTCTCTATTTCTGTTATAGTTTCCATTTATTCAGCATTGATTCTTTGCTTTTAAAGATCTCCGTGATGCATTTTGTATTAAAACTGGGCTTCGTATTTTTTTCGAATTGGAAGGGAGAATCTGCTGTTAGGTTCTGGATTTCTTTAATACACAATACATGATTGGATAACATTCAAACATTCAATTTGTTCCTGTATCATTTTTATGTGGATTGCTCGAATAACACAACAGAAAATGCTTTACTTTATATGATGTTACCTCAACAAAATGTATATTATCTTACCTTGTTGAATGAGACACAAACATATGCTTCTTCAATTTGTGATTGCCATATAATTTCAACAAGTGGACTTATATGAAGTTCTGTTGTGGATACGCTCAACTAAATTGAGCCTTAAGCCCAGTTATTTGAGATGGGCTACATGAATTCTGCCATTTCTTTTTTTTTTTTTTCTATCAGGATCCACATTTTCTTTAGATTTTGAGGTGGAAGGTGGCTCTAATCTAGTTGTAAATTGTATGGGAATGGAGAGTTTGGTAGTATGGAATCATAGAACAACTATGCGAGAGGTGTGGAACCTATCAAAAGAAATGGAAATTAGATTCAGATGGGCTAGAAGAATCGTAGATGTACAGGACTGAGCTGCTTTGGGCTTTATAATTTTTCTATAACATAGTAGGGTTGTTCTGCATGCAGTAATAGTGTAATTTCATTCATGTGATTTTTACTAAAACCTATAGTTTACAATAAAGAAGGAGCTACATTTTCTTACTTATCAAAAAAAAAGAACCACATTTTCTTCTAGAGATCCTTATCATATCATTGTAGAACCACTCACAAGTGGCTATGGAGATTTCCAATTGATTGTAATAAGTTGTGGCACTCAGTTATCAAAAGTATCCATTGGTGCTCACGCTAATGGGTAGGATGTGGAACTAGTAACGAGAGCTACCTTGCAATCCCTCGGAACTGATCACTCTCTTCTTGAGAATTTGTGAGGACCTTTTTAATAAATTGATTTCTGTTATTGATCAAAAAAAAAAAAATTGTGAGGACCTCTGGTGGGGGGAATCTGCTTCAATGCACTCATTTCTAAGATTGTATACCCTTTCCTCTTACAAAAACTCTCTGGGGCTATCTCTTTGCTTCTGTGTTTGGATGGTGTGTGTTTTAACCCTAATGACTCCATATGAGGATTTTTTAGTACGGACCATCTTGGTAAATTTTCTTGTGCTTCTGTCATCAAGGCTTTAACTCTTCTTGACCATCCCCTTCCATCTTTCCTATCAAAGCCAGTATTGCATGGAAACTAAGGTTTAAAATGTCGATTATCCAAATAGAGGAAACATGTCAGAAATATCGTATAGAAATAATGTGAAAATTATAGACATGGTGGAAATATTGTAAAATATGCAAAAACATAGAATGATATTTTATGAAATGAAAAAAGAAGCAATGATACACCCTTTTAAATTATTATCTTGTTCCAAATCATTAAACAAATCTAAGAAACTAAGGTTATAGGTAGAAGAAAAAAAGATGTTTTGAAATTGTTCTGTAAACCTTAAGATTCAAAACCAGATGATAGAATCCACATATCTACAATATTGTTACCAACTTATGTTATAATACTATCTCTTGTACTTTGCATAGTGCCAATAATGTTCATTGGGGAATTTGTCGATTCCAATAAAGTTTTGTGTCATTACCCATGGAAATGGAAATATGTCGTGGAAACCATCTTTTGTACTCCATATAGTACTGCTAGTGTTCACTTGGGAATATGTCAGTTCCAGTAAAATTTTGTGTCACTGCCATGGAAATGGAAATATGCCATGAAAATATTAGGAAATTTAGGGACATTTTAAACCAAGATGAAAACGGGCATTGGAATTGTAATCTGATGCATCTCCAAAAGTTTGACTAGGCAAGATGAGAAAACATGGATTTGTGAACATATTTAAGGAAAAGCATACACTATTAAAATAATTTATATTTTTAATTTGTAACATTATATATCTATAGAAAATGTTGTCTTTGTTACTAAGTCGTGTTTGATACAAAAATTCAATTGATCTTGTAGAATAGCTATTCATTTATGACAAATAAGCTTGTAGATAAAAATGATATGTTATGTAGAAGTGCCCTCAAGAATTTGTGGAGTGTTGGACTTGGATGACTTGACACAACATCCATTTAAGAGAGTCCATGCAACACTGATCAAAGCCATTTGGTCAGACCCTAGCCTTCCTAAAATTAGGTTTTGTTGTTGGAAAGTAATCCATTTGAAGACAATACTTTGGCCTTCTAGGAGAGAAGCCCAAATTTGGTATTATATAGTGTTTTAAAAGTGCAAAGAGCAGGGGTCAATTTGCACTTGAGGCGCAAGGTGAGGCGTGTGCCTTTTTAAGAAAGGTGTAAAAAATAAAAAGGAAAGCTAAAAAATCAAAATTGTCAAAAAAATGCCAAAATTTTCAAAAAATGCAAAAAAATTATTAAACATAATATTAATAAAAATATAAACTTAAGTTTTAAAATAAATATTTTAAAAAACCTATTATCTAATATTAAAATACATAAATATAACATGTAAAGAATATTCAAATGAGAATTTAAAAATAAAATCAAATATATAAAACATTTTCAAGCATATAAAACCCACAATCTCTTTTTTTTTTCTCAATTGCATTACTTCAAGTAGCTAATGTGATGTAAAACATATTACATCCCTGATTCTATGAGCCCCCTTTGTGTCACGACCCTCGAGGCAAGCCCAAACAAGTCCACATTAGGTCGTAAATTCTTAGTTCTCACATAAAAATAATGATTTTATAGTTTTTATTGCTTTTTAAGAAATTTTATTAGGATGAATGAATGAATGAACAACATTACCTAACATGGACTTGTTTAGGCTTGCCTTGAGGGGTGTGGCACGGGCCCAACCGCTAGACACAAAAAAGCAATAAAGTGTCAAGGTTTCAAAAGGCACACGCCTAGGCACACTAGGCGTGCACCTTTTGAAAGGGCTGCGCCCAGGACCTAGGCGAGGCGCCTACCCTGAAATGCGCCTCGCTTGTGTGCCTAGGCATGCCTTTTAAATCACTGGTATTATCACATAACATGTGCTTTGTCTATAAAAGCAAGCTATGCAACCACATTCTACCTACCAATGTTTAGAGAACTAGATCGAGCATAGAACCAAAAAAGGGAGAGGTTCATGGGTCAAAGGTTCAACCGGGGTCAAACCAGAGGTCGAACCGTGCGTGGCATATACGTATATATACTACGAGTCATATAAATACTATATATAAAATATTTTACAACTTTTATTATACTTAAATATGGTGGATGGATGGCAAGTTCCTTAATTTTTAAAGCAAATGGCCATGGTTCAAACCTCTTAATTCACATTTTCTTTAAAATACATGTGTAATAAAGTAATATATACAATAAAGAGTCATTAATTAACACAAATAAAGAAGTGGATTAATGATAATTAAATACTATATATAAAATATTTTACAACTTTTATTATACTTAAATATGGTGGATGGATGGCAAGTTCCTTAATTTTTAAAGCAAATGGCCATGGTTCAAACCTCTTAATTCACATTTTCTTTAAAATACGTGTGTAATAAAGTAATATATACAATAAAGAGTCATTAATTAACACAAATAAAGAAGTGGATTAATGATAATTAAACAATACTTGAAAATAAGAGGTCATGGGTTCAAGTCTTGTCACATATGTTTTGGAATTTAAATTATTTAATGACCTGAGCAGTTTCATGAAACCGGAACCGGTTCACTAGTTTTCCATCTAAACCATCTGGTCAGCCAGAGCAATGACAGCCTCATCTTAAGAGTAAGCTTGAATATGGCATGGATTCCCCTTCTACTAGATAGAATCATACTGAATTTTGATGGCCACAGCCATGGGATCCTGGAAGCTTGGGTATAGGTGGTGTTTTCAGAGATCATAACTGTGGACATCAAAGTAGCTTTTTCTGGACCATTAGATTTTGGTAACTCCAATACAAGCTATGCTTCAAGGTTTGCAATTGGCTGCTTCATTGGCTTCAGGGAGCTAATAGTTGAAAGGGATTCAAATACTATAATCCTCTGGTTAAAAGGTTAAATGGAAGAACCTTAGAGATTCAATTATCAGATCATGGAAGCAAGGCATTAGGCACTTGGTCTGGGTGCAAACTTGGTTTGGATACCAAGATCTGCCATCTCACTTGCTGGCTCAGTGGCTTGTGAAGGAGTTAGCAGATGGACCTTGGTGTGGGATGGCTATCCTTTGAATTGAGAGTCCAGCAAATAGCCTTGCAAGTTGCAAGGATGGGATTCTGAATGGACTAAGGGGGAGCAGTATGGACTGGCTCCAAGATATTCCCTGTACACTATATTAGTGTATACACCTTGTATATTCATACTGTACTTTTCTGACAACATTAGTAAGTCTTCTTCAATTATGAATTAGAAAAAGCATATTCATATTGGATTTGCTAATGATTTTTATTTGGGCTGTCAACCTGACAAAACCCACCTTTATCCAGGGTGGGGGCTCAGTGTAATACAAGACAATTGTAGTGGATTTTAACTGTGTAATAGATCGATGAAAATAAAATCCAAGACTACAATGATTCCTTAATCGTCTTTTGCATATTTCTTATACTTGCATGTATGCTATTTGGTGAATTTTGAATATATAAGAGTATAGAAATTACCCACGATTTTCATTCTACTTACCAAAAGCTATTCTGGTTGTGTTAGAATGGGGATTCTGAGAAGTTTCTGCCAAGCACACCATGTTCATTCCCCAAATGAAAATTGGCAGGAATTTACTCTAAATGCAACCTAAGGTGATTCTGTATTTACCTAACATCATTAATTGGAAGCATGTTTGACATTGTTTGTATTTTTTTCCTTTTGAATACTTGTTTTCAGATTCTTCCCTCTGCAGTGAGGATTTCTTATCTGGGGTTAATGGACCAGGTAATCAATCTTGGTCCTGTAGTTTCTCATTCATTTGTTTCTCGTTTACCTTTGAGTTGAAATGTGGCAAGTATGGCAGTATGAGAAAGTTGAGAAAATTGGAGAAGGGACTTATGGGGTGGTTTATAAGGCTCGTGACCGTTTGACAAATGAGACTATAGCTCTTAAAAAGATCCGTTTAGAACAGGAAGATGAAGGAGTTCCAAGCACTGCAATAAGAGAAATCTCCCTCTTGAAAGAGATGCAACATGGAAACATAGTCAGGTTCTTCTACAATCTCATGCCACTTTATTAAGGGGCTAATAAACATGTCATTTATTCATATTAATAAAATTGAAATTTCTTTGTCGCTGATAAAAAAATCACTGTTGGCATGTGATGCTGAAAGTCATTACTTTCTCAATTTTCATAATTTCATTTGCTGCATGTTTATTTATTGCTTTCTGTATCTCATCACTGACATAATTATATTGAAAAATAACTTAGAATTTCCTTCTTATATGAAGATGCGTGAAACAGATTTGCTAAGCCATTATGTCAAGAAGGGTTATCAAAGCCATTCTTGGAGGTTGGAGATTCATTGTTCTTGTTTTTATTTTTTATTTTTTATTTTCATGGTACTTTTTTATTATCAAGGCATAAAAGGAGATTGAAAGGATTTGTTTTGGTTTATTCTAACCTTTCTCACTTGTTGTCTTTTTCTGAGAAAACACTACAGACAAAAAAAACTACGTCTTTTCATGAGGTAGCAAATCCCTTATTGGCAAGATAATGTTGTGTCTTCAATCTTGATACAGATGGGATAGCAAATAGATATCGTTATGATGTAACTAATCCTTTTTCTCTCTTCTCCTCTCTCTTTCTCTTCTCCCAAGATTTCCAACTCAAAAGAAACATGGTATCAGGGCAAAATTTCTGATCCTATGAACTGATCTCTTCTCTCCATTGCTTTAAAAGTACAAAGTGCAACAAAAGCATAAGGGGCAATTTGCGCTCAAGGCACAAGGCAAGGCACATGCCTTTCCAAAGCAAGGTGCAAAAATGCAAAAAAAAAATTAAAATATTAAAATATTAAACATAACATTAATTAAAATTATAAACTTATGTTTTAAAAAACTTAATATCTAAAAATTTACATAAACATAACATGTAAAACATATTCAAATGAAAATTTAAAAATAAAATCAAACATATAAAACATATTCAAGCCCAAACAAGTCCATTTTAGGGTCTTAAATTCTTAATCCCTACACACACACACAAAAAGGATTTTATACATTGCCTTTTAAGAAGATACTTTATTAGAATTATAAAAAAAAAGATACTTTATTAGGATGATTGAATGAACAACATTAGAGAATAGGGGGTCCTCGGTAGGGGTGCTCATGGTTCGGTTAACTGAACAGTGGGCTAATTTTGGAAAACCGGTAACTGAAACCGAACCGAAGCCGATCGGTTAACCTGTTTGATTAGCCGCCTGTTCAATTCGTTGGATTTTTGGTTTTTTATTATTTACAATATTTATTATATAAAAATATAAAAATATAAAAATATATAATAAAATACTAGAAATATATATAATATTATATTTTATATAATATATTATATATTATAAATATATGTATACCATTCGGTTCGGTTAACTGCTTGTTTTCTATTTTGGTTAACCAAAACCAAACTGGTACCTTCGTTTTTTTAAATACTGAATGAAGCTGAACTGACTGGTTTGGTTAGCCGAATTTTCAATTCAGTTTTGGTCGGTTTTTTGGTTTTTTTGCTCACCCCTAGTCTTCGGATCTTTGGTGAGTGAGCAAAGCGGGCTAACATGCAGGGTGTTTGGTTCTGTGGGCGTTTATTCAATAAATGTTGCCACATAGGCGCCACTTCACCATTTCCCCTCTCTTTCTCTTCCGTACGCATCAGGAATGGCAAAAGTGGACTTTGGTTTTTGTGCACACCTACCGTTTGGGGAAGTTATTTTTTAAAGCTTCCACAAATTGTTAGGCGTTTTTTCACTCTTACGCTGATGTGGAGCCTAGTGGTGCCTAGTTGTCATAAACGGTTGTAATTATTACCTTTCTCGGTTTTGCAAGCAAATAAAGTACAAACGTTGAATGAAAAAACGTAAACGGAACCAAACACATACATGGACTTGTTTGGGCTTGCCTCAAGGGGCTTGGTACGAGGTCTGGTGCCCCAAACTCAGCCACTAGGTTCAAAAAAGAAACTTTCAGATTGACAAACTCATAGAGACTATGTTGTCAAGATGATGCCTAGGCGACAAGGCACCCTTTGAGGTTCACCTTGCCTAATCTTCAAGCAGTTTTTTTAATTCCTACTATAAAATACTTTTTTGTTTATTCTTTTTTGAGATTATAATTATAAAATAGACGTTATTAAACTAAACTAATCATTTTGTGGTTTTATATACTATTTTTTTTTTATTTTTTCTTATTTATTAGGGTTTAATCAACACAAACATCGCTAAATGCTGTATTGAACCCTCAAAAACTTCAAAACCTGAACTAATGAGTAAGGAAGAACTTAAAATTTTATCTAATCAGCACATTTTCTTCTTCCATATGTTCTACTACTACTACTACCAATACTTTTTCTTTTCTTATTTTCCTATAACAAAAATAAGGGTTCAGCCCCTATATATATATATATATTTTTTTTTTCTTCTTCTTTTTCTTCTCATGAATATGTTGATTTTCTATACTTTAATATGAACTTTATACTTATGAAAATTATGAATAATTATTAAGGAAATATGGTTATGGTACCTAGGGAACTACCCTAGGATCTAAATTTTCAACATAAAAAAAAATCCATCGCCTAGGCGGGCACCTAGGTGACAAGGTGCCCCCCCTGTCGCCTAGCCTCGCCTTGGCACCTCGAAAACTATAGAGAAAGTGGTCCGTTTGATTTCTGGACTGATCAAGAGTAGTTTCAGCACTCTTTCACTCCTTTTTCTTCTTCTTGGTTGTTGTACCAGGAAGATTTGTCACTGAACATAAAGTGGTGATGTGAAGAGATTTGATTGGTATCTCTATCCAGTTTTTCTTTCATATGCAGGTGTGTGTACCTGTGTGTTTAGGCTTTCCGTTAAAGTGTTGGGATGTCCTACAAGCTCAGTTGAGGAGGGTTTCTATGTGCTACAATTGTGATTAACCCTAGTGGTGTTCTCAGGTATCTAAAGGCGAAACTCTTTGCTCTTTTAACAGCCTAAGAAGTGTCTCATTATAGTGTTCTGTTACTGTGCATTGTTGGTGGCTTCAAACTAGTAGTTAATAGCACCTTTCAAGTTTCCGTTGGGGCATTTGTGGCTCAGGTGTTTGATAAAAGTTCTATGTGAACTAGTTGTGTTAATTCTTGAATCATTCGGATGGCTAGGGAGGATTCAGCTTCATCCTCAATTATAGGATCTCAATACGGAATACCAAACCAGGTTGATAACTTGTTTGTACCCATTCCCATTGCACCCCTAGATGGTTTAAACTATCTAGACTGGGCAAAGGGTGTCAAACTCTTTATTGGTGATAGGGGGAAGACTGGCTATTTGATAGGGATTATTATAGAACCAAAGGAGAAGGGTCATATCCATGATAAGTGGGACCAAAAAAACCGTATGGTATTGTCTTGGCTGCTGTCATCCACTCCTTCAATCAGGAAGAACTTTATGTGGGGTGACACTGTCAAGGTGTGGGATTAGGCTAAAGCTACTTGCTCAGAACAAAGACATTATGCTAGACTATACCAGTTGCAGGTGGAGTTGGCTGCATATTAGCAGGGTGTTAAGTGTCTCTTGGACTATTACTCCACTCTTACTTCAATGTGGAATGAGCTGGATTATCACCAACCACTGCCTGAGGGATATAAAGGGTGCTATGAATTGTAAAAAGTTATTCTCATTGGTAGAGGATGCTTGCCTTTCTAGTCAGTCTTAATCCAATCTATGAACCAATCAGAGTACAAATGTTGGGAGCAAGGAGTTGCCTAGTCTACAAGAGCTGTATGCATTGATTCAGTCAGAGGAGACTAGGAGCCAGGCCATGAACCTTACTGAGGGGGAGCAGGTGGCCTTGGATGCAAAGGGTGATCTTAAGCAGGGTGACAAATCTAAGAGGACTGAAGAGGCTGATAAGGAGAAACTATGGTGTACTCATTGTGAATCTCATGATCCGATTGTCTCTTCCTTTTTTCTCTTATTCTTCTCTCTTTGCTATTTTATCTTTTTCAACACCAGATTTTTTTATTTAATTAATTATTGCTGAACTATTTGACAAGAGATTCCTCATCAATCTTTTAGGAGAATCCCACTTAGTTGCTATTTAACAGACTACTGCAAAACCCCCCTGTTCAACTTGTGACTTCTCAAATTCAATACTAAATTCTCGTGGCAAATATGCCTGTATGGAGAGTTTCTCTAATTTAATTAATTTCTTGTATTTGCATTTTCATCTGTTTTATGGTTTTTCTTGTAAATAATTTGTCAATTGGTTCTGTCTAACAGGTTGCAGGATGTAGTGCACAGTGAGAAACGCTTATATCTTGTTTTTGAGTATCTTGACTTGGACTTGAAGAAGCACATGGATTCTTGTCCAGATCTTGCCAAGGATCCACGTTTAATAAAAGTGCGTGAGATGCTTCCACCCCATAGATATTCATGCATTCTTCTATATTAAAAGACAAATATAATGCTCTTCAGACTTGCTTCAGAGTTTAGCTGCCACACTTGAAGATTCTGTAACCATGTTTGTAACAAGGTCATATTTGTCAATAAAATTCTAGGATGTTGTACAGTATATTGGCTATTCTGGCAATAGCATGTATGTGTTGCATTTCATTATAATGTACCTATGGTGATACAAGGCTAAAGCTGCAATTAAACTACATGGGATGGGTTTCCTCCTCTCTTGCAGATGTTTCTGTATCAGATTCTTCGTGGAATTGCTTATTGTCATTCCCATAGAGTATTACATCGAGATTTAAAACCTCAGAATTTGCTTATAGATCGCCGTACCAATGCTTTGAAGCTTGCAGACTTTGGATTAGCCAGGGCATTTGGTATTCCTGTGAGGACATTTACTCATGAGGTATCAACTTGAGCTACCTATTTCACTGGTTTTTGCAATATTGCATCCAAACTTTCGATGTTTCTCTTCAGTAGTAGCTGATTTATTATTGTTCTTTATGATTGCAAATCTTCTAATTGGTTTTTTCCCCAGCTATGCAAGTTGTTCTGAGATTTATTTTGATTCAAATTTTGTTTCTTGGACTTTTACTGTGTAATCTAGAAAAAATAAAATAAAAGGGGGATTATTAGGGCCTGTTTGAGAGGGCTTAACTTTGGTTCAGCTGCTTTGAAGAAGAGATTCGTATGAAGAGCCATCTAAATGCCTGTACAATGACTAAATTTGGCTCTTGTTAAAGTCTAGTTGGCAGGGGTAATATTGCCTTTTGATCATTGTTTTTAGTCTCTCTCTATAATGTGTTACTAGTCAGGGGTATAGTTGTAATTTTGGTTATTGATTAGAAGCTAAATAAAACATGGATCGACGGTATGGGAGTTTAGTTCGACTTCCCCCTACTGAAACCCTTCTCTCTTCTTAATTTCTTCTCTTCTCTTGACCAACTTTACATCCTTAGTTTTCTTTCTTTTTCTTATTGTTCTAACAATATATTCAGGTAGATCACATGGTATCAGAATTTACAATTCACATGAAGTGCATCATATTTACATAAAAAATGCATTGTCTCATGTTCAAATGGATGTAAAGCATTTAAAGTAATCAAAGCAGTGGTGCCCACACTTCTATTTATAGTATCTTACTATAAATATTATAATAAACAAGTTTGGAGGGATTCTCTTCTTTCTATTACATTGATATGTAATGAGAAACACGACCTAATGGTTCCCCACTTCTATTTATAATACCCTATTATAAAACATTATCTTAAAACGTAAGAGCATGAGGCATATGCCTCAAGTGTGTGTGACTCTTGTATGACTCCACGAGTTTTCTTAGTACCTCACCTTAAGGCAGACCTCCAAAATCTACATGCCTGCAGTAGATCTAATAGATAAGATAAGCTCAATTATAATTTCTTTTGGCTGTGGCTCTTATTCCCTCGGTAATTTTCTTTTCAGGTTGTAACACTGTGGTATAGGGCACCAGAGATCCTCCTTGGGTCTCGCCATTACTCTACTCCTGTTGATGTGTGGTCAGTTGGTTGTATATTTGCTGAGATGGTGAACCAGCGGCCATTATTCCCCGGAGACTCTGAGATTGATGAACTATTCAAGATTTTCAGGTGTGCAATATCTTGTGTCTGAAGCTACAAACCCCAAGGCTAGGTCAGAGCCCCTATAATTTTCTATTTGTCTCACATTCAGAGGATTGGGACCCACAGCTTGTTGGGCACCACCGAAAAGAGTCATAAATCAACTTGAGGATCATCCAAACTATTTATTTATTTGTCATTTTGATTATGAAGGCTCCAAAATGATGTCTGAATCAGATAGTTGAGAATCATCTGATTGTTCTGATTTGGAGCATATACAATATCTTAGGTGGGATTAATCCAATGGTTGGTCTTTACCTTCTGAATAGTGAGAATTCTGGTGAGTTAAAGGGGCTTGAAACCTATGTTATGATCCTGTGGACCCATACTGAAGATGGTACTATTTACTCACTTTATGATATTCTGGGTTCTTATTATCTTCCTTTTTTGTATTCTTGTTTACACATGCTCTCATAATGAAGATTTTTGGGTACCCCAAATGAAGAAACTTGGGCTGGGGTTACCTCGTTACCAGACTTCAAGTCTGCCTTTCCCAAGTGGCCTCCTAAGGTGATTAGGGTTTTGATATAGTTATGTTGGACGTTTGACCTTTTTGCCGAAGTATATGCATTAGGAGATTTAAGCTTTGGCTCCTCTGCTGCAGGATATTGCAACCTTGGTCCCAAATCTTCAACCAGCTGGAGTTGACCTTCTTTCTGTAAGTATTGGATTCACACATAATTGGAAAAAAAAAAAAAAACACTAATTCAGGGCCCATTAAAATTATATCTGAAGGAGTTGCACATGCATTACTGTTGTCTTCATAACCCCACACATAGAGGGTGCATTTGGGTCACCTGTGGCTTCAACCTTCCCTTTTCTACTAGATTCACCCACAGGCTGGTGAAACACCATGGGTATTTTATTATATGACATCTAGAATTTTGGTGCTTCTGTCCTGGTCTGTTAAGCCCCCAAATCAGCGCTTTATGTGTTCATAAAGTGCCAAGGTTAGGTCCATTTCTAGTCTACCCCTCCCACCTCTCACACCCCATTGGGTAATGGAAGAAGAGAAGGGCAGCCTAGTGCATAAGACTCCCGCCATGTATGCAGCATTATCACTGCACATACAAAGAGGCTGTTTCCAAGATTTGAATCCTGATCACCTAGGTTGTAATGGGGCAACCCCATTGGGTAATGGCCTTTTTTTATTATCGTACTTTGATGTTAAAGTAAATAAATAGTAAGACGTACACATTAAGGGGCATTTTCTCATGCGTATCTGTAAAACTGTCCCACCAGAAAATGCTCTGCTTGGACCCACGTAAAAGAATTACTGCACGGAATGCACTCGAGCATGAGTACTTCAGGGATCTTGGATTTGTACCCTGACCCTTGATCTCTCTATAAATTGTCCTTGTACTTCAGCGACTCTTGGGGTTTGATTGTATGTTAGAACTTGTGCTTCCTTCGATGTATCATTTACCAGTTTCTGGTTCATGTCACATAAAACTATTGCTTGGCCATTCATGGATTTGTAGCCTCTATTGCGGCTTTCATGTCTTAAAGAAACATTGTGTGGATGGTGTTCACATGATATATGCTTGTAGATGGATCTTTATGCTTTGTACCTCTTATTGAAAATTTACCAAAAAAAAAAAAAAAGATAACCATTACCATTTACTCTTAATGTCAAACGAGGTTGGGAAAGGCAATTTTGATGTATTGGGATACACTTTCTATATGCATAGATATGGCGGAAAAGTTAAGACATGGATACATTGAGAAAACTCACGATTTCGTAAATTGATTTTTCATCTCATTAAATTGAGTAAAAAGACCCTTTTAGCCTTAACTATTCATCAAATTTTTAAAATATGCCCCTTATTGTTAATCAAAATTTCGAGCATATGTTAAACTGAAATATTCGAGTCAATGATTTGCCCAGTCAATGGGTCACTGACAATTTAACAGTTTTTAGCCAAGGACCGGGTTAAGGGTGAGACAACCAGTTGCCTAGACAGTTCCCAGGCCAAATGGTCAAACCATCTGGGTCAATGACAGTTTGAAAATATTGTTTTGGTCTCTGTTATGAGTCAGAGATCCTACTTGGAGAAAAAGTAAACGTATCATTTGGATTGGGTTACCTTTGGGTCATGCCGCTCCAACCATTTAAAAATGTAACCCTAAACCTCAAAGTCATTTAAAATCAAGTATAACCTTATTTTTTTGGTAAATATCAAGTACAACCATTTAACTCATTATAATTTCATTTAAATCAAGTATAGGGAAGTTCCTGCTTCAATTGTGTGTATTATCATGTTTTTGAAGTTCGATTCCTCTAAGGTAGCTGGAAGATATGGGGCCAACCACGATACATGTGAGACCAATGTATATGTAGAGCTGAGATTGGGCCAGTATTATGATAGAACAGTTCGAAGATTTTCTAAGAGAACCATAACAGTTTGGTCTACAACTATAGCTACATGATGAGCAAGTTTGCACAAGTTTAATCCCTTAGATAATTGATTCTTTAGGTCAATTTGATCGGATGGTACATTACACTTTCGATGATGGGATTGAACTCCGAATTCTTGAACTAATTTTTCTTCAAATTTTAGTCCCCGTTTAGTTTGCAGGAATAGGGGTCTGGAATCGGAATGGATTATTCTGATTCCAACTGTTTGGTTGGGTGGAATTGGAATCCCATTCCCATTCCTGATATAATGGCATTCCTCCATTTGAGGGAATAACCATTCTCTGCCCCTCCCTTGGGAATGAACTTTTATTCCTACTGATTCCAATTCTCATTCCCATTCCTGTATTAACTAAACAGATTATAGAAATGGACCATTTCAATTTCGATTCCAATTTCAATTTTCTACAAACCAAACAGACCCTTATTTGCTCAGATTCAAAACCATGGGGCAGAGTTGTTTCACTTGAACAGTTAAAACACAGAAATGTGGACATACATGAATCACGTTTGAAAGGGTAATAGATAATCGATACGCCATCCAAAACTCGATATTTATTGGGTTTGTTGTTTAAAACAAATGGAACGTGACAAGCAACTAACAAAGGGGTAGTAATAGTATTTGCCATATTTCCAAAAATTAAGGGTACATAAGTAACCTCAGGGGTACATTAAATAATTAACCCATATTAATTAAAATTAAGAACATAAATATAAAAAGTAATTAAAGCATGACCTTATGGTAGATTTTTTGCCTTCGAACCTAGATACTTGGCTTTCAATCTCCTTGGCCTTAAATATCTTTAGCTCTTGTTTGTAGGTTTTTGTCCCATAAATATGGGAATTAATGTATTGCCGTACTTAGGGTGTCAATCGACCGTTTTCAAATTGGATCTAATTTGATTCAAAAACTTATTAAATCGTATTTGGATGGTCCATTATAATTATTTGATTGGTCCAATCTAAAATTAATTGGTTCATATTCTTATTGGTCTGAATTGAATCTAAACCAAATTTTCAATAATCCGATCATGAAGCCAAACCCTTGTCCAATTTGAAACCAATGAAAACTAAAACCGGCATAAAATCACTTTTATAAATTACATTTACGAAAACACTTTTATAAAAGTAATTTTATGAAAGCATTTTTACAAAAATATTTTTACTAAAACACTTTTACAAAAGTACTTTTACATGAAAACACTTACAAAAGAACTTTTTCAGAAGTACTTTTATAAAAACACTTTTACGAAAGTATTTTTACAAAAGCACATTCACAAAAGCACTTTTATGAAAGTACTTTTACAAAAACTTTTATAAAAGCATTTTTACAAAAGCACTTCTACGAAAATACTTTTATTAAAGTACTTTTACAAAAACACTCTTATGAAAATGTTTTTACAAAAGTGCTTTTTTAATGCCAAAAAGGTATATTTTTATAATTTTCAGATTTTTTTTTCATTTTAATATATTTTTTATAATTTTTTATATGCTCTGTTTTTTATATAATTTTTATATTAATCCAATCCATTTACAATTTAATGGATTGCATTGGATTTGGACCAGATTGGGTCCAGTCCACTTGTAAGTGAACTCACATTGAACTGGATCAGGTTTGACTAAATCTAGTCCAATTGACACCTCTAGCTGTGCCACAAGTGATATAAAAAATTCCACGCATTGGCCTATAATTTGTGCCCTAGCCCTATAGCCCTACTCATCTTGTTTCGCGGCAAATCCAATGTCTATGAAGAACCTACCCCTTTAACCTGTCGGGTGGCATGCTATGCTACATGGTTTACGAAATAGTTGTTACAAATCACCATGGTTATGATATGTTACACAAATTAATGCCATGTGGCACTTTTTCTTTTCTTTTCTCTTCTTTTGCTTTCAATGTTTTTGCTTTATGAAACACGTTACCAAACTCTAAAGCAAATTTTTTTTACTATCCAAAGCACAAAAGTACTTCCGGAAAGCTTCTCCAAACACCACCTACTCTTCTTTATTTTATTTTTTGTATTTTTTGAAATAAAAAATAAATACACAACAATTATTTTAATAAGAAAAATTACTAGGTTCACACTTGCATGTGATTTGTGTCTTGGATTAATTAATCTTCTAACATAATTTTTCATGGATAAATGATCTAAAATGTTTTTTAAGCTGAGACTATATATTTTTTCTTTAATTATTATTAATGATTTAATTTAAAATAAGAATAACATTAAATATTTTTGGTGGATTGGAGCCAAGACACTAGTTGATGCATCATTTGTGAAGTTACCCGATAAAAGTCATATATTGTTGTATATGATTGTAATACATTTTTGCATAAATACCGTTCAAGAATGTGCTTTTCACGTAAAAATGTATTCTCTAGTCACTCAGGACAGATTTATTTATGTTTTCAGAGCATATCTGTGCATCCACGCATATCCAAAGTGTATCCCAATAATGCCTCAAAATGTTCTTTTCGAGGTCCTTGGCATTTCCAATACTTTTTTGATAAAGCATCAACCAAGAATCCAAAGACACTATAGCTTTATCGATAAAAAAAGACACTATATAGCTTTTACAAATTACTACAGGCATAAAACAATTATGTATGTTATTATTTTATTTAAATTGTTAATAAGTAATAATAGAAACATATAATTAATCTTAAAAATAAATTAGACCCATGAGAATGTAGAAGATCGAAAAGTGGTAGACACAATTATATTTTAATTATTAACAATTATTATACATCTTTTATTTTTACTTTTGTATATTATTAAAAAAAACCAATTTAGTCTTAAATTGTTAATATGATAGCTAATCCTTGTCTAACTTCTTAAAAATTATTGATGTAAGGTATGTTTTGTAATCTTAATTTAAAAATGTACCAAATCAATTAGAACTCTATTTCATAGGCAATTCATGCATTCCTTATAGGTTTAATTTATATTAGTATTTTGTGTACCTTCCACTGAATTTAGTATTTAGAAGTATTTGGCTATTTGTTTTATGTTCATCAAATATAATTTGTATCACAGTTTCCCTTAAGTTGTTTCATAGCTAGCTCATTCACATTCTTGCAGTAGGCCAATTCAAGGTATCTTAGGCTGGCTCTCTAAACATAATCTATTTGCATGTAAGAATTGATTTAAATTTTGCATTAATATGCTTTCCTATCATCAATATAGTGATAGACGTACGCCTAACTTTCTGCATAAACATCTAAGACAATGAGTTTCATTTATTTCATATAGGAATTGCCATGTTCAATAATTAACTCCATACATTACTGGGTCATACTAGCTTGGACTTTAAATCATTCATTCATAATTGCATCTCAGTGGTTGAATGTTTTAAATCATCTATTAGCAACTTCATCTTTATCACCAACTTCCGTTCATCCACTTAGTTTTCTACAAAGTTTTCTGCATCATCATTTAGTATATAGCTGCTTATTCATCTTCATTTAGGCTTCCCCCACTCATCGATTTTAGTATAGATATTTCACCTTTCATTTTTTATCACTTATTTGAGTTAGAATTTAGTGCTTTCATCATTATGTCTTCTTATTTATTTATTTATAGTTAAAGTGATATTCAATTTCATTCGTTTAGATTAATCAATTATCCATTAGTTACATCTCACTTAGCATTTGTTCCATAATCTGAAATCTTCATGCTAGTGTAGTCAAATTCTTTGCTGAATTCTCCACTTAGTTGTATTAGTTTAATTTATTTATTTAACTAGTTCTTTCATTGCCTCCTTTATTTGGTAATTATTAGTGTGCCAAAAAGTAGTTAATTCATTCTTTGAGATATTGGTGAAGTAAAGGCTGGTTTGACCAAGTGTGTGTGGGATACCTAACACCTCCCCACATTGTACTTTGGTCCCCAGACCCACACTTGAATCTTAACATCTCTCTACTTGGGTTTAACAAGTACATCTAAAACACTCCAAGGCAAATTAATAGACTAACAAAAATTCATCAAAAAAAATTAATAGACTAACAAAACCAAGAAAAGTATGGTAAGATGGGAAAAAGAGTGATAGAAGGATGTCGACTGCAAATATGCTTTCCTTCTTAAGAGCAATGGATAAGCCAATATCAAAGTAACAAATATAATTGAATGTTCTAAAATATTAGAAGATAAATTAGTAAGAGGACTAGCAGAAATAGTACATCAAAACAAAGGAGGATCTTAAGGGTAGTTGTTCCACTTATGGGCCTCTTTTTCTTCCTGGTGTATATCTAAAACTTTGTTGAATATCTCACTATCTTCATTAAAGCTAATAGGTAGCCAACCTCTCTTCCATAGTCAAATGCTTCCCCCTTGAAAAGAGATCACCTGATAAGTAAAGAAAAGGATTAACTTAACTGAGATGTCCATGAAAATAAATTTCTTACAAGAAAGAGAACAATACGTTTACTTCCCCTCTAAGTAGTAGGATATCCCAGGGAAATGCACTTAAGAGTATGATCAAATTTAGACCAAGAAAATGAACAAACATAAACAAAGCACCCAAACAAGTTTGAAGGAACATAACAAAAGATAGAATAGAGAAGTTAAACAACAAACTTAAAATCAAGAACAATTCAAGGAAGTTGACTAATGAGAAAAGAAATGATAAGAACAGCCTCAAACCAAAAAAGTTTTAGGAACACTCATACGGTCATACCATACATAAGAGCACAAGCCACCTATAAGACAAAATTTTTCCTTTCAACAACACTATTTTGTTAAGGCGTACCAACACAAGTAGTTTGGTGTTTTATTCCATGTTCAACAAAATAAGCTTGAAGTCATACAAATATGTATTCATCCCTCACTGTCACATTGAAGAACTTTAAGGAGTCTCTCAAACTGGGTATACAACATCTTACAAAATTCCTGAAAATAGCAAACACCCTAATACATCGAGAACTATTAATATCAACAAATGTAATAACGATGGTCCGAACAAATCAAAATGAACAATAACAAAAGTAACTAAACTTTTATAGTTACTTAAAGGATATAAAATTTGACAATGTTCTGAAAGTTCACAAACTTCTCACTGATATTGTAAAAGACCAGACTCAAACAAATGAGAAAACAACCTCTTTAAATAAGAAAGAAACACATGAACGTCAATGTCAGCAAACTAAATGGTCTTTAATCCTACTAATAGTACTACTAAACCCGTTGGACTACTGAAATGATGAGGATGTCCATGTAGATTTAAGGAGAAGGCCACCAGATTCACGACTAGTTGCAATCACCATCCTCAAACTTAAAGTCCTGCATGACACTATAGTTCAAAGTTTTGGTAATACTACTAATGGAACGCAAGTTAGTAGTAAGATTAAGAACATCTAGGACAGATGATAGAGAGAAGCTTTGAAGGACAATAACAGTTTTTTCAATAACAGAAGAAAGAGATCCATTAGCAACTCTTTTTCCCTACTAGAACAGATAGAATAATTAAAACGAAAAATTGAGGAATATGTCATGTGGTATGAAGCACCAAAATAAAAAATTCATGACGGTGTACTAGTGGAATAGGTATATAATCAATCACGCGTGATCAAAATAAAATTAATTGTCTTAGTACCAACACAAAAGCAGATAAAAATTAGCAAAAAAGAAAACCGAACTATTTCTGTTGTTATTGGAAAAACACAAAATAAATGTATATAATCAATCAAACCCTTTTTCAAAAAAAAATATTTAGAAACCCTAGCTCCACACAGTAGGAGAAAAAGGAGAAAAGAACGTCAAATACATACATAGTTCCTCACATCATTTACAGTATCGATCAGCTTTCTTTTTAACTCGATCATTGAGAGCCTCTTCAACAGACTTCGTCTTCGAATTAGGGTCGTACCCGAACTTCTTGGCCTCGACAGGAAATAGATCGTCATACTTCAATCGCTTCGCGGCATCAATTGTGTAAACTTCTCCGGTGGTTTCTCCCCCTTCCGCTCCGATGGTTCCCTCACCGACGGCATCTGGAGCAGCGTCTGAAGAGTTCTGCTTCGATTTCTTCTTCTTCTTCTTCTTGTCGATGGCTTTCGTAGTAGCAAGGCTTCCTCCTTTGAAGGCTAATCTGCCACCCTTCACTTTTTCGTATGGATCCGACATTGATTCGCGTACCCACAAACTCGAAGAACATACATTTCGCAGGGGGGCGGTTCCAAGCCTTATATCCGTGGCCGTGCCCGTTTGGGAGGGATTTTACACAGCGGGTCAGCGGCTTTTGCATTGAGAAGTGGGTCCCACTCGGACAGCCTGGTAGCTATATTTATTTCGACATGGCTTTCTACAAAAGCTTTTACTTATTGAGATTGGATCTGCAAAGACATGGCTTTCTACAAAAGCTTTTCTTATTGATATTGGATATGCTCCTCACATCATTTAGTTCGAAATTTACTATTTAATTATAAAAAAATTATTATCACTTATTTTGTTTGAAAATATTATTAATTTATGTTGTTTTTAATATGACTTAAGAGATTAAATAATGTCTTATTTGTAAATAGTAACCCATATTAATTGGTCTTTACCATTTATTTGGTAAATTTATTTTGAGTTTTTTTATGTATTTTTTTTTATAAAAATCCATTTCAAAGTGGATTGAATGTATTTGAATAAACCACTTCTAAGGTAGTTATTCTATTTGAGAGTGAAATTAACCACTTTTAAGATCTTTTCTAAAAAATTGGAGTGCCAAATGTCTAAATGAGAGTGGATTGAATGTATTAGAAACTTAGAATAAACCACTTCTAAAGTATTTATTCTATTTGGAAGTGAAATTAATCACTTTTGATATTCTCTTTTCTAAAAAATTGGAGTGCCACATGTCTAAATGGGAGGAACTGTTTCCTGACTACATTCCTTTAATATATATAATAGATTTACAATTATAGAGATATTCTAGTGTACAGCTGAAACATGCTATGAGGATAATGTGAAGCACGATGTGTGAGGAGCATATCCAAAATCTTTCTTACTACCCGTTGAGAGTGTTTTCGCGTGGGGGCTGTTTAGTTCCATTGTCATTTATTTAATGACTCCATATTTGCTACCCACAATTTGCTCTTACATCTCTACACCACCATCCTGTATTGGAAACATCTCTCCATGAATAATAAGGGAGGTATTTCCGATATATGTCCCATACCTATATGGGAATAACTCATGAGCAGCAAATCCAAGCAAACGTTTTGTATAAAATCTTTCTTGAAATTTGGTAAAAAAAATTTAACATTTTTTGACAAGTAAACACCATTAGAGTCCAATAGTTACCACATAAGCTAAATAATGAAAAAAAAAATGTTTAGGAGTTGGGGGAAACATCATAAATAGCTCACACAGAACTTGAGAAGAAAATGTTTATTTGATAAATGGTTTAACCAAACAATATTTAAAACTACACTGAGGGAAATGCCTGTGTGACACTGAGTTGGTGTCTGGTTTTTAGATAAACGACAAAGGAACTCCAGACCACCGTAGTGGCTTCTATCTTTGCAATGGGGGCCCTACATGGACAGCCAAAGAAGCTATGTTTGGCAAAAAAAAACCTAGAAAGCTATATGTCTTTGCAATATTCAACCAAAATATTGGTTTTCTAGTGAAGCTTGTTTTAGTAACTTCTTCAAAGTAGTTTTGTGAAAACAGCTAAATCAAAGCAAAATCCCTTCCAAATGGGCCCTTAGTGGCCTCTCCAAAGCAGCTCAATCAAAGCTTCAACCCTCCCAGTGGGCATTTAGTGTGTTTGGGGGAATTGAAGTGCAATGGCTTTTGGCTTTCTAAGGAAGCTCCACATGGACAATCTAAAGGTTAAATTTGTTGAAAAATCTGAAAAAAAGTGGGCCCGTTTGGTGCATCTTTCCGCACGGTCTTTCGGCTGTTTACAAGCTGGAAAGACGGATTTTCGGTCTATTCCCGTTTGGCTTGCGGAAGATCTAGCCACCAAAAGATGGTGCACCGAAAAGATGCAAGAAGCCCATTTCGGGCTGATTTCAAGAAGCTTCAAATCTTTCACGTTTTAATCTCACGCGGAAAAACACAGGGCAAATGCACGGAAAGACGCGCATCTGCCAAACTGTCTTCAGGCTGCCCAGATCTTATATCAAAAGCTCAATGCTTCTTTTGACTGTCAGAGCTACAAGAAGATCTTCTCCAAAAGACACGCTAAACAGGCTCTAAATTGGCTATTAAGTCAGTCATTTTAAGGGTTATCCGCTTTAACCTCTTTGAATAGCTTATCTAAAATGTTTTGTTTTTTTTTAAGTAGCTGAATTAGCTTAGGTGAATCTTTAGCTCGGCCCTCCCAATAGATGTTCACGGGCGAGGCTTTGGGTTCGAGTTTTAGACTGGGCCCATTAATATTTCACAAAAGCCAAGCCCAAGCCTAACCCATCAACAGGTCTTACCTCCCAAATGGGACCTTAGTGGCTTCTCCAAAGAAACTCAACCAAAACTTAAATCCTCTAAACAAGAGGAAAGAGACAGGCCAAGAATCCTCTCACCTTAATGCTTACACTAACCTCCCTCTCCTCTCATTTCTCTCTCGCACGTGATTTATTTATATTTTAGTTAAATTAAATTTAAAAATATAACAAATAACAATAAAATATAATCTTAGTTTGCATTTGGGTCTGTGATTAAGATGCAGATGGTGTTTGAGAGTGCCAAGCAAAATAAAAGTCATGATCTTCTAGATCCATCCAAGTATAATATAACTTTCTTCGAAAAATCATGTTATTGTAGTTCAATTATATAAAGAAAAATTATTAATTATACTATGTATTGTGATTTTTCTGCAAGTACGTTGGCTTGAAAGCATGCATCAATCGGCCTCCACGGCTGCAATCTATTTTCTGTCGGGCGTTGTGGAGATGTGATCTCGGAATCAACCGTCTTTGTTGAATTGTAGAGCAGCGCAAGTTCTTTTATCTTCCCAGTTCATTAAAAAAAAAAAAAAAAACCATTTAAGCATGGAGCATTCATTATTCTCATGGAAGTTGAGTTAACTACTAAATAAACTTCTAAAAGAGTGGATAAATACATGGTTAAGCTTGAGACTTTTAATTCAAAGTGGAGTCGATTTTTTTTTCTTTTTTTAGTGAAGAGTGGACATACTTATATTTAAAAGTGGGAGTAACGATCAATGTTTTCAAAATTGGATCGGACAGGATGGTTGGATCGGAAAAACTGGGAACTAGTCACCTGACTGGTTTCATTTTACCCTAAAACTGCTATTTAGCCAAAAACCATTGATTTGGTCAGCAAATCGCTGATCCAGGTGGTCAAACCATTCAACTCAAGAATGGTTTTTGGCCGTTTTTTAATTTTTTTATCAGAATAAGCCATCCATTCAAATCAAACAATTGGACCGTTCGACCCAGAAACCAGACCCAGAACAGTTTCCTATATGGTCCGGTTTTAAAAACATTGGCAACCACTTCTACAATGCTATTTCTTGAAATGCCAATTGTTATGGATTCAAACTCCTAAAGGCTTTCAAAACAAAACTCCTAACTAAATTTCTATCAACCCCATGAGTTGCATTGTTTAATTGCTGGTTACTTACATATAGAAGCTCTTAAAAGACTCCTATAGGCTAGAACTATAACCAGAAACACATCACACAATAAGAGAAAACCCACTAATCAGTTCGTATAGTCATTTAGTAAAGTAATTATCATAAAGTAATTCATGATAAGATGGTTTTGTTTAGCCTACTTATCTAATTAGAGTTTTATGCATAGGGTTGAGCATTTCCTTCTAGTATGATCCTCTCAATCTTTTAATGCTAATCAAATAAGGGAGAGGATTTCATCCTTGAAATCCCAATTTTAACCTGATCAACATACCTAAATGCATGTATACATGGCATATTATAATGCAAGAAAAGAATAATAAAAAAATTATCCTAAGAATAAATCTTATTCTAAATGATGCACAAGCATGTTGAAATAATCATAGTAAACCTTAACAAAGAAACTAGTATGATGCTTGATATTGCATGAGGTTGATCACTAGCATATTAAACATGCAAAGTTTAACATATGATGATGACATCTCACAAAAACAAAGGAAAAAAAAATCGATCTTAGCTTATTTGCATGAAAATGAAAATCAGTTGTATATGATGGTTCCTACAAATTAAATATGAAGAACTAGATGTAAGTTTATAACATACAATCAACTTTGATTACAAGGTTCAAAGTACCAGGTATATTGTATCGTATCTTTTGGTCTCTAGTACATCTATTTATAGATGTTTTCATGAATCCATTTTTTAAAGGGATTTTTGGACTATAATCGTTCTTAGAAATCTAATTTGCAGCCCCTCCTAGTCTATTAGTAGCCCCCCCTATAAACCGTACCCTGCCCGTGAATTTGGCATCAATCCACGGACAAGATTCAGTCCACCCCTAGTTTACTAGTAGCTCCACCTAGGGGTGGACTGAATGGTAAAATCCCCTTTTTTAAAAAGTTAAAACTTGAAATAAGTTAAGAAAAAATAAAACGAATATGGTTTAAAGTACTTATACACCTTTATTGATACATCGATACTTTGAACAATATACTCGTTCGGGTCATGGTTGAGTTAGCTTTGGATGCCACGTGGCCACCTAGTCATCTCAGCCACGTCGGCACCGCTCTGCCATCTTCGTGACATACATCGGCTCCGCGGCCATGACCGCACTACACTACTTCCGTAGCCCCCACCTTATCTTCCCAACCACGTCGACTCCACGTCATGCGAATAAGTACAACCAAAGAACATGAGAGGATGGGGACAACTCCGCTAGATATTAGGACTCTATTCGGAAGACCTTGACGGTTAACCTCATCCCGGCAGCCCTAGAAGTCTAATCCGACCAGCACACAGACCTTTGGTTATAAAAAGGTATCTCCCGCTTAAGGTAAGGGATTCTAACTTCTAGCACCCATACTGTTATTCTACTTAGACCAGCACTATTCTCTAACTGTTCGGCCCAACCATCCACCATTTTCTACTGACTTAAGCGTCGAAGTGCCTACCCGGGGCCGGCCTCATCCTCCTCAGCCCAGACAACACAGTACTAGAGCATGCCTTCAGATTCGAGTTCAAAGCCTCCAATAACGAAGCTGAGTACGAAGCCCTCATCGCTGGACTTCGGCTTGCCCTAGACCTTGGAGCCCCGCGAATCGAAGCATTTAGCGACTCTCAGCTAGTAGTCAATCAGATCCACAACCAATTCGAGACGCGGACACCCACGATGGCAAGCTACCTACAGAAGGTGCAAGAGCTCGTCCAACGGCTCGAGCAGTTCAACATTCAGCAAATTCCCTGAGCCAAAAACATCCGAGCCGATGCGCTATCGAAGTTAGCCGGTTCAGCCTGGAAAACCGGTCCATCCAAGCCAACCCATGCGCTCAACCGGAAGTAGCAACATCCTTTTTTACCAACGATCGGGGAGCCCTTCCGTTACGCAGTGCAGCCGAGCATCAAATAAGCTCGAATTCCGAAAACCAACTATAAGTTCCTCGGCATTCGACTAGAGCAATCGACCACGCCATACCTCGGCGGAGCACTCCTCTCCTCGACTTCAGAACTAGGGGAGTGGTGTTCGGATTCCGAAAGTATAATTCAAAGTTCCTCAGCCGATGATCAGAGAACTCTTCAGTTGCCTCCCACAATGCACAGATGCTGAATTTCGACAAGCACTGGAGAACACTAAGTGGACTAGACACTCAACCAGACTTCAACTTCGGTTCCTCAGCCAAAGAATAAACATCTCTCCCACGCTACACTTCGGCTGAGCACTTTATTCCTTTGACTTCAAAACTGGGGGACTGGTGTTCGGGTCATGGTTGAGATGGCTCTGGACGCCACGTGATCACCCAATCATCGCTCAGTCATCTCATCCACATCGGCACCGCTATGCCATCTACGCGGCATACACTGGCTCCGCGGCCATGACCATGCTACGCTACTTCCATAGCCCCCACCTTATCTTCCCAGCCACGTCGACTCTACGTCATGCGGATAAGTACGACCAAAGAGCAAGAGAGGATGGGGACAACTCTGCTGGGGATTAGGACTCTATCCCGAAGACCTCGGCGGTTAACCTCATCCGAGCAGCCCTAGAAGCCTAATCCGACCATGACATGGACCTTTGGTTATAAAAAGGTATCTCCCGCTCAAGGTAAGGGATTCTAACTTCTAACACCCATACTGTTATTCTGCTCGGACCAGTACTATTCTCTAACTGCTCGGCCCCACCAACCACCACTTTCTAATGACTTAAGCGTCAAAGCGTCTACCCAGGGATAACTCCTCGGGCCTCTGACTTCTTTCTTGATTACAGACTTTGGAGCACGGCTTCGCTTTTCCATCTCGACTCCACCTTGTTGGCAAAAACTATCTAACTATGACCTCGATTTATACACCACCTCGGATCGAGCAACATCAATACTTGATAAAGATAATTTAGTAATCTATTGTCCTATTCATTATATCATGCTCAACCCTTCAAACGGCCTAGGCATGAGTCAATAAACAAGCTGCCTCGAATGGCATATTAGAAATGAAAAAATAATAAACTAAAGATGAACAAGCATCGAATGGCATATTAGAATTTGAAGCCGCCTTTTTTTTTCCTATGTATTAAAACTCATTAGATGCTGATCAGTGGTTTTTTTTTTTAATGATAAACCCACCCGATTAAATGATAATTGGGTGAGACGAGTTGTGGATATCTATTGTCTAATGTGATTAAATGATGGCCAGGTGAGACATAAAAGGTTTAACAGGTTTGAGAAATTGGAAGGAAAAATCAAATGAATTTGAAACCGATTTGTAATAAGGGTACTAGACGGACTTAGAAATTAAAAGGACAATTTTCACAAATACCTTATTTATTGCCATCACTAATCACATTGCACCTCTTTTGGGTCTGCAAACCTAAGAGTTTTAATAGTGTTGCGCATGTGTTAGCCCAGAAGACTAAGGCCCCATTTGGTTCATGGCATGGTTTTTAAAAACGAACCGGTGACTAAATCAGTGTTGCGCATGTTCGAATGGTTCGATTGCTTGATTCGAACAATCGGCCTATTTTGACAAAAAATAAAAAAGAAAATAAAAAAATTGAAAACGGTCAAAACCGTTCGAACGGTTCAAACGGTTAACAGGCCGGTTCAGCGGTTTTCTGACCAAGATCAACGGTTTTGAGGAAAAAGCGGTTTTGGGGGAAATGGAACCAGTCAGGTGACCAGTTCCCAGTTTTTTCGGTCCAACCGTCCGATCCGGTCCGGTCTTAAAAACCATGGTTCATGGGAATAAGGGTCTGGAATTGGATTTAGAATGAGTTATTCTAATTCCAACTATTTGATTGAACGGAATTGGAATCTCATTCTCATTCCTGCTGGAATGGGCATTCCCCCATTTGAGGAAATGGCCATTCTCTACCCCTCCCTTGGGAATGAAGTCCAATTCCTGTTGATTCCAATTCCCATTCCTGTCTGAATCAAACAGATTATGGGAATAGACCATTTCCATTGAAAGGATATTGATTTCAATTCCAATTCTGATTAAAACTGCTAACCAAATGGACCCTAAATTTTTTAATCGTGACCACTATTTTTGGAATTGACCACCAGTATAGTTAGACCTTAAGAACCGTACGCATTTTGTTTAGTTGATAGTTAATGGATATTTATCTTTACTCATCAAAAAGAAAATTAAACATAACCAAATGTGTATGGAAAATGCTGAGCAAACCGTATGGATACTTTGAACGTTTTAAGACTTGTATCTGACTAAAAACTTAAGGTTGTGTTTGGAAACGATGCTAATAAGTGTGAATGCAAATATGTAGAGTGTAAAATGGTTCGTATAAATTGCAAAATTTGGTTAGTTTTGCACCGACAAATTTATCTTCTTACCAAACAAATTTTTAGCTGTAATGGATGCAAACATGAATTCCAATAAAGCATATTCTTTTTTTTTTATCAAAAGTCCACTTGAATGCAAATTTACTTCTTTTTTATTGATGTACTTTTACATTTTATTATAAATGTAAATATGCATTAGGTCTGTCATTTATGCATAAATATAATGTTGCCAAACACAAGCAAAAGTGAACCAGAGTGCAAATTTAAGTGAACCGGGATTTACACTCCATTTGCATCGTTTCCAAATGCAGCCTAAATGAGACCCAGAAGGGTTACTGATATCTTCTGAAGGGATACACAACGGGAATAGCCCATCCCTCAACCCATAACCCCCCAATCCAGGTGCAAGCTGGATTTGATCCCAACCAGGTTTTGGATCAAGTAATTAGCAGCAGTTCAACCATCCTGTTCTGTCCAAATCTCACAACCAAAGTTCAAAATATCAATATAGTGCATATCGGCCTGTATTGGTATTGTTTTTTAAGAATCTGGTTCAGAGGGGCCAGTCTAAAGCTGGTCTACCCCCTGAACCACTCACCAACCCGAAACACTCCCTGTAGGGGCATATTGGAAAGGCTCCAATACATCACGAAACTTTGAACCTTGCTCACAACACAGTTTTCGAAAGACCAATGCACCAGTTTTCGAGTGGTACTCTCTAAATTATGGATTAGCTTCTCGAGCTCTCCACAAATTGCACAGAAACATTTGTTGCGGTATTTTTGGATCAAACATTTTTCTATATTTTTTTCGCCAAGTTAAACACAGATGTATTTGGGTATTTGTATTCAACAGAATTACCATTGCTCTATCAAAATAAATATTCAGAACAGTCTCGAAACTTTAGTGAAATTATAAAAGAAAACAAACTACATGATCGATAAACTTCGCACATGATCACTCCACATCTCTGTTGCAATTGCGTCACGCAACTGTGAAGCTGCTTCTAGTTGTCCCTCTGCGAAGACAAACTCGGAAGATTGGGTCTCAAACGGTATCATTGCCACTGGCTCTACCTCAACTTGTGGCATTGATTCTTCTACCGGTGGCTCAATATCTTGTTCATACATTTTAAAAAGCCAATCATCCCTTTTCTCATTTCGGATAAAATTATGTATTGCACATGCTGCAACAACTAGCTTGACTTGAGTCTGTAATGGGTAGGGAGGCACTGACATCAAAATAGGGAAGCGTTCTTTCAGAACAGCAAAAATGCGATCAGTGACGTTTCGCAATATTGAATGTCGCTGATTAAACAGCTCTCTTGCATCTTGTGCATAAATGCCAGGAATTTCGTTTGTGGGGTAGCGAACACCATTGTATGGAGCAATGAAGCCTGGCATATTTGGGTACTTGGAATCAACAAGGTAGTATTTACCTACATCATCAAAGATCTTATATACCAAGTTGCCAACTAATTCAGAAAAGATTAAAAAAAAAAACAGTTCAATTTTGTCTGGGGTTTAAAATACCTTCAGGTACTTTAAGATTATTACGCCTTGTGAGTGCTGAGTTCAATACACGTGAATCAGTTGCTGAACCTTCCCAGCCAGCGAGAACATAATGAAACTTCAAATCAAATGAGCAAGCTGCCAATACATTCTGTGAAAGGAATCCATTCTTATTGCGAAATGGACCTTGTTCATCAACACCAACCATAACTGGGATATGTATTCCATCCACTGCCCCCACACAATCCTAAAGGAGAATGTAAACCAAGCGAAATTTAACTTCCAAAAAGAACATACCAGACAAAATTGATCATTATCACATTACCTTAAAATATGGATAGAATCTGGCATCCCCCAGTATCTCTGGAGGAATATCAGACACTGGAGGCTGAAAGAAATCTATAGCAATTGCCATAATTGCATTTAAAACATTGTTGAAATGCCGGCTAATGGTTTCACCAGAGTACCGAAAGCGTTCTTGAACTGCACGAGTTCTTTGGTTATGACCAATTATAAACAAGAATATTGCTAACTGCTCCTCGATCTTTATTCTACTTGTGTGGCGTAGTAGACCTTTAGCTTGAAAAAGGTCACACAACTTGTAGAAGACCTGCTTATCCATACGAAAATTCTCCCGGCAATATTCATTTTGACCAGTGAGTACTTCCTCTACAAACTTTGTACCATTGAGTGTTGAATTGTGATAGAGTTCCTTGGTTACATCATTATTTTCATCATCAGAGCTGTCCATGACAACTTTGTACTCTGTACTGCTACCCTATATAAATAGAACATAAATGCTTGGACATGGGAATTATGGCTAAAATTTTAGCATCAATAAAAAATACCCCCCATAAAAAGGTCAATAAGATTCACAAGGAAGAAACATTAAAACAAATAGTTGAAAGCTAGTTTAATGGATCATAGTGTGCTATGTGAGAGAGAATGGGAGACAAATAAAGCAGTAATGGGAGACAAAAAGATTAGGGCCTTAGGTTCATTACTGTTATTTATATTGAAAAACTAAATAGATAAAAATACCTATTTCACATGAGATGATTAACACTACCCCCCCCCCCAAAAAAAAAAATGTAAATCATACCAAACTTGCTTAAGTTATTGAACTAGTTTAGACTTGACAACACCTTTTGTGAATAAATCAGTTAATTGATTCTCATATTTGATGAAGGATAAGAGAACTCCAGCTATAACCTTCTCTTGTATAAAATGGCACTCTTTTTTTCGGTAAAAAAAATGAATGTGAATTTTATAGGAATCAATCAGCACCCCTGAGGACTAATTCTAAAAACAAGAGGCCTCATAACCAGTCCTAGTATAGCACAGTGATGGTACTTAGAATTTAGGTTGAATTTCACTCTTAGGATATTTTTGTTATTTTACAATTTTAGTGGGTCCAATAATGGGGGCTAATTTATATAGTCATAGTTGGTTTATGTTTAAAGTATTAAAGAGTCATCGGATAAATAGTAGTTTAGGAGTTATTGAGTCTTCTTTGAACTAAAATAGGATCCTAGTCTAGAAAGGAGTTTGGCAGACCCTAGAAAATTTGTACATATGTGTTGTTAAGACATAACAGGGGTTTTATGACTGATCAAAAAAACAGGGGCATCTATGTCATCATCATCATCCAAGCCTTATCCTAACTATATGGGATCGGCAATTGGCTACATGAATCCTGTTTCACCATTCCATTCTTAAAGCCATATCCATTGTTAAATTATGGGTACTTAAATCATTTCTAATTACCACACAATGTCCTTTTTGGTCTACCCCTGGCCCTTCTAGCCCCTTCAGCTCACAATAGATCGCTTCTTCTCACAGGTGCTGTTGGTGGTCTTCTATGCACATGACCAAGCCATCTTAGTCTACTCTCTCATTTTATTACCTATTGGAGCTACTCCTAGGTTCTTTCAAATGACTTCATTCCTAACCCTATCCTTTCTAATTTTCCCATAATCCCTCTCACTCAGCATACACATTTCTGCCACACTCATTTTTTGTACATGTTTCTTGGCTGTCCAACATTCTGCTCCATAAAACATGGTTGGCCTTAGAATTGTTTCATAAAATTCTCCTTTCAATCTAAGTGGTATTCATCTATCACATAAGACTCCAGATATGCCCATCCCACTCTAATTCTACGGGTGACATAGTGACATCCTCCTCAATTTACGTAGTCATTGGCATTTTGTCATATCAATTATTTAAACACAAATGATTAGAGCATGATTCTCAAGAAAGATCATCACATTCCACACATTCTCATTTCTCTCCTTCTTCTTTTCGACTTATTTCTACATCAAAATAATTAGATAAATGTGAGAAGTAGCAAGGAGTTCTGGTCAAGGGAATCTTCGTTGACTGCTGCCATCATCATCACCAGTGGCTAACATCAGCAGGCTATATGGCCAACAGTACATGAGAAGGTAAAGGTGGTTTGTGGATCTCTTTAGACACATTTTCATGTAAGTTTCAGAGCCATCAGAAGTCATTTACATATTTTTATCTATTTTATGGAAAGAAATTTGTGACAATTACAATTACAATTATCAAAAAAAAAAATGTGACAATTACATATCCAGCTTTCAAGACTGTTTGGCAAGTTTTTAGGAAATGAGAATGCCAGTGTTTGCTATAGTTTGGTATGTTTAATATTTCTAGAGAGGACAAAAGCGGTGTCATGCAATTTGAGTGAGTTTTGAGGAAGTTGTGTTATTTTTTCCCCTCCCTTTTTTTCTATTCTTTTGAAGGGCTACACAACAGGGGTAGCCCATCCCCCAACCCAGGTGCAGGCGGGATTCAATCCCAAGTCTCCCCTACGACCAGCAGGAGACCTTACCAACCAGCTGGTTGGCACCTTGCATTCTCCCCTCCCTTGTTTGCCACCAGCCCTAGTAAGTTTATTTCTAGACTATGCAAGATTGTTATAGTTCTTTTTACCTATCTCTGAGAACCTATAGGCAGACATAAAGTGGTTGGCTGTAATCAGTGTTGTTATTGTTGTTTACTGTGACTAGTATGGCTGCTTCAAAAGAAATCAGATCTAACAACAATAATTACATGAGTATGAGTGATAACAATATCAATACTAAGCAAGGGAATACAAGGGATCAATTGTATTCAGGCCAATTTGGCTAGGGTTTTCTTTGTTTTGAGGTTGGCTGAGGCTAGCTTCCCTAGTTGGGTTTTTCTGCCTTGATAAAATTCAGTTGTTAATGTCAATACTAAGATTACTACAGGGAAGTTGGATAGCAGTAACCACTTAGAATAGTCATGGCTAAGAAGATATGGGTCAGAGTACTGCAAAAATCTATTAGTTGAAAAAAAAAAAAAAACTAGTAGTATGAGAAAAGGGAACAATCGATCTCTTTGCATTATTCTTCTTTGCAGGTATCTGCAGGGAAAAAGAGTGAGACAACATCCACTGAGAAAGGAGAAGTGGTGTCTGATTATTGTAATTTGTAAGAAGCCAAAACGCACCAAGGATCATTGTTGGAAGCTTTACCCTCCACTTAAAACCATAGCATTTTAAGCAGTGTTGCATGAAGACCTCACATTTGGAAGGGATTTGCAAGTTGACACGTCTCCACGAGTTAACTCATGTACGACTTCATCAAAATTTGATATGAACTGACAGTAACCATCAAAGTTCAGCTTGACTACACCTTCTGAAGGAGGGGACTATTCAACCACACTCTGATGCACAACTTGCCACTCTCTTAACGGGTCATTTAGAGAGACGCCTTTGAAGGCTTCACACACTGCAGCCCGAGGCTGTAAAATGCATTTTCTTGGGATACATGCAAAATCAAAAAGAATACTGTTGTTATGACTCTATAACCAAGAAGAGGTATGTGTTCATGGATGTCATTTTCTTTGAGTCTGCTCCTTATTATTCCTAGGGAGTGAGAAATAGAGAGAAGCCTTAAGAACCTTGATATACCTCTTCATATTCCCATTCTTAAAGCCATTTCATAGTCCATACAAATTAGTACAGATGTATGAGAGGAAGAGGAGATATGTTTGCTCCCGTCTCATCACAGCCACTTCACATCTCCTCTAAGAATGAATGTTCTGATGGCATTCCTGTTGTATTACTGCCTCTTCAAGGCATTCCAGATGCTAATGATCCAAGTAGTAGTGCACTCCTTGTTTCTGATGTTGCTCCTTCTGGAAACACTGCTCCTGCTTCCTTTTCTAACCTTAACCATCCTATTGCTCTTAGGAATGGGAAAAGGAACGTCTCATCTTCATCTACTGCTTATGGTGTCCTCTTATCTTTCTTATGATAGATTTTCTCCAGGGTATGTTTCTTTCTTGGCTTCCATTTCCACTATTACTATTCCAAGCTCCTAGGTCTGTAACTAAGGCTATAACAATACCTGAGTGGAAAGAAGCCATGCAGGCTGAAATGGGTGCTTTGATGAAAAATATGACATGGGAGGTGGTTGAACTACTCAGGCAAAAGATTCCAGTTGACTGTAAATGGTTGTTCACGACAAAATACAAACCAGATGGTAGAATTGAAAAACACAGAGCCAGGTTAGTAAATAGTAGCAAAGATAGCATACAGACCAAATGGAATTTATTACGAAGAGACTTTCTTTCCAATTGCAAAAAATGCTGTCTATTGATGTCCTAGTGTCATTAGCCACTATTGCAGTTTGATGTGAAAAGCACATTCCTAAATGGCGATTTTAATGAGATGTATATGGTTTTACCGCCAGGGATTTACACAGACAAGTAGGATGGTATCATGGTATGGTGTGCAAACTCAGGAAGGCACTGAATAGCTTGAAACAATCACCTCATACTTGGTTTGACCAGTTCAGAAAAGCATTGCAGAGGGTTGATTTTAAGCAGTCTCAATCTGATCACACTCTATTTGTGAAGAAGACTAGGCAATTGATTACTATTCTTATCAGATGTCTCCGAGACATCCGATAAAATTGGAACGATATAGAGAAGATTAGCATGGCCCCTGTGCAAGGATGACACACAAATTGAGAGATGATATTGTGGTGACAAGAAGCGATGTAGATGGAATTACTCAACTAAAGCAATTCTTAGCTTCAGAGTTTGAAACTAAAGTCTTAGTAATTCACATTATTTTCTTGAAACTGAGGTGGCTAGATACAGACATGGAATTTACACCTCCTACAGGAAGTATGTGTTGGATTTACTTAAAGATATAGGGAAGTTAGGTGTGAAGCCAGTAGATACTCCTATTGATCCTGGACATAAGATATGTGCTACTAAGGGGAGTTGTTGGAGGATTGTGCCATGTATCAGAGATTTGTAGGGAGATTTCTCTACCTTTGTATGACTCGATTAGATCTCTCCTGTGTGGTTAGTGTTGTAAGCTAGTACATGCATGCTCATCGTACTGCACACATGGCAGCACTAGATAGGATTCTAGCTTACTTAAAGGGAATTCCTAGTACAGGAATTTTGTATAAAAAACATAACCATTTGAAGATGGAGGTATAGACTTATGTAGACTAAGGTAGGTCTCTGGGTGATAAGAGATCTACTTCAAGGTATTGTGCTTTTGTGGGTGGAAATATAGTATCCTCGAAGAGTAAGAAACAAAGTGTGGTCTGTGGTGGCAAGGTCAAGTACCAAAACAGAGTATCAAGTTATGGCACATGGTATATATGATGCTTTATGGTTGGGGTCCTTTTATTGGGAAAATTAGGTGTACCTTTTCATATGCCTTACTGCTATGTTGTGATAATAAGGCAGCAATCACTATTGCTCACAAATCACAACCCAGCCCAATATAATAAAACCAAGTATATCAAAGTTGATCAGCATTTCATACAGGAAAAGGCGATGCCTATGTTTGCATTCCTTTTGTGAAGACAAATCAGTAGTGAGCAGCTATATTCATAAAGAGAGTTCCTAAAGCTTCACTACAGCTTTTTTTTTCTTTTTGGATAATTAAAAGCTTCACTACAGTTAACACTTAGCAAGCTGGACATGATTGACATTTATGATAAGCTTGAAGGAGAATGTAGAAAAGAGTGATGTTTTATTTCTTTGGGCCATTGGGTTTATTCTTTTATTTGTTTATGGACCTGCTATTGGACTGCGCTTTTATTTCTTTTTGTCTAAATCTTGTTGCCGCCTTATGAGAAGTATTATATGTAATTGCTCATTGCTCCTTTATTTCATAAAGTATAAAAGAAGTGAGAATTCTATTGAACCCCACGATCAGTTTTCTCAAACCCTCCTCTTTTCTCTCTTCTTCTCTTAATCTTTCCCCGTTCTCTCATTGCCAAACCTAGTTTTATGCATTAAATCCATAAAATTCTCTAACCTGAAGGTGATCTTGGATCAACAACTTAATCAATGAGAACTCAATCCTATATGTGAAGAACAGCCCCAAATTATGGCTAAATATGAACCAATCTACTACTATGAGTACCAAGCACTAAGGTTATGCTTGGTAACATTGCTTTTTCTACTTGAAACGGTTTGGGTTGATCAATACAAATTGGCAAGAGATGTGTTATCACATCACATACCAGTTACGAATTTGACATTTCTACAAACATCTTCCAGCACATGCATTTTTTAAGGTATGCCTGTTTCAACTATAAACTGCCTCAAATAACAGTTGTATGCCAATTTGTATTGATCACCCCAAAACATTTCAGGTGGAAACAGCAATGGTACCAAACATAACCTAAAAGCACACCCAAAAAACCAAAAAAAAAAAAAAGCCATAAAATGAGTTGGGTAAAGGTGTCATTACAGAGATGTGGGTCTGAAACTGACATCAGTTCAATTGGCTATGCGGAATTAGGTGGTTCACTTCATTGCCAAGAATTGGAATCGCAACCCATCATGTTCCAAGAAATGGGAGTGATGGCTCTTCCGACTTTAGAATTGAAAATGGTTTTGGTTTATAGTGATGCCAAAGCCATGGAAAGGCGGTCTAGGTAGGTTGAGGGAGGGAGAGAAGGTGTTATGCACCCCTCTCCCTTGTCAGATGACATTTACCCAAAGGAGAAAAAAATCCAAAACAAAAGAACTAGATAGAGAACAAAGGGAAGACTGCCTTGCAAATTTTGGTGAATTCCTTAACATGGAAAGAGGGATTATTCCTTAGGTCATCTAATTCAGTTCCCATTTTCAGGTATGAGAACCGTTAGATGAGCAAATGAGTAACAATATTCACTCTCTCTTACGTCCCTGTCACCTGTACCAGAAGGATCTAGAACTAGATCGCTCAAGGAATCTCCAAATTGAACTCTCCCGTCGGGTCCTAACTATGGAACGAGACTACTGCCCCTACCAGGCTCCAACTGAAATCATGCACACTAAATTTAGAAGAAAAACAAGACAAAAACATGTTAACTGAAACACCAATTACTCAAACTACCTGAAACTATGATTATATATTTTGTTGGCTAGAGTGAAAATTATTAAAAAAAAAAAACGAGATGATAACCTTTTTCGAAGACATTCCTGAGATCAAAACACTCAAACAGAGAAAGCAATACCTAGGAACTAAATGATGGAAACCAGGTACCTTTCTGATGTAGCCTTCGAACTGCGTTTGATGCCGTCGTTTGTATCGGGTATAAGGGCTTCGGCGGCTAGTCACTGATTAACGGCAGATACTTTTCTTCAGACGTAGAATTTCCATCACACATTGCCTGGACGTCTGAGCTCGGGCATTGATACTAGAAGGAAGCCAGGGATAGGTTCAATTCAACTGACCTAACGATGACCATCGATAAGGGAGACAATGGAGAGTGCGACGGTCTCTGGCAAACAACGGTGAAGTCAGTGGTGGTGGACGACGGAATCGGGACTGTTTGTGACAGTCCGTGGCAGTGACACTGCTCCAGCTATCGCTTCCTATCTCTGATTTGATTGATAGTGGAGAAGGAAAGACAGTCGATCCCACTTCCTCACGGTTTTTTCTCTCTCTATTCCATTCCTCCAAGAACACCCCCCACCCACCCCTTTTCTCTTTTTTCTCGCTCTCTTTCTTTTCTGTCCGAAACTTCTCTGTTATTTGTACCTCATAGAACACCCCCCACCCCTTTTCTCTTTTCTCGCTCTCTTTCTTTTCTGTCCGAAGCTTCTCTGTTATTTGCACCTCATAGAACACCCTCTCTCTCTCTCTCTTTCTTTTTGTGTTTCTCCGCTCTGAGTTGGTCGGCAATGGAGAAGAAGAAGAGAGGACAAAGCCGTGGGTCGGGTCTGGATCGGGATAGGGTGTCCTAGTAGGCTAGTAGGGATGTCAACAATTTACGTTTTGAAGACCTAAAACCCAATAATTTAAGTTGGGAAATTGGTATATAGATTTTAAAGTGTCACTTTTTCTATTTAAAATAAAAAAAGGAAAATTAAAATCAACATGTAAATAAATTTTAAACTTTAAAACTATAAAGAAGTCAAAAACCCTAATCCAATTCTAAAATTAAATATGTCTGATTGGTTGAGTCCAGTTAGATTTACCATTAAACCTGACCTATTGACATTCCTAACCCTAATCTCATCCTGATTATTAATCGGGATAGTCGGGTCTGACCCAATAGAAATTATACTGATTATTGACAGTAAAATTATTTATAAATTATTGTATAATCGGGATAATCTTAATAAAAATGATAGTAAATTAATAAATAATTTATACATTAATAAATCAAAGTGTTTTTAACTAAAATTGTCTTATACATTATCTGCCAAAGTTATCATTTTGGACATAAAATAAAATGAAAGTTATAAAAAAGGGAAAATCTTTATATATTATTAACGGGTATGTATTTAGTATCGATGTTTGTTTGTCCAAAGTGGTACTAGGCATTTTGTTTTTGCCCCAACTTTTTTTATTTCACTCTTCTTTATCCATTTAAGTAGCGCAAGTGTTTGAGGTTGGAGAGTCACTTTTAAATAAAACATCATTTTGACATTTTTTCAATCAGTAAGTATGCATTAGTTTATACATGGCAATTTATGATGATAGTAATAATATGTTTTTAAATTTTTTATATTTTCATGTTTATAAAAAATAGAGAATATTTTCGATCAATACCCTATATTTTGGCTCGAGTGACAATTTGGTACCCAAACTTTAAAATACAACAATGTAGTACCCGAACTTTCGAAATGTAACAATCTAGTACCTGTCATTTAACCAAGTGGCATGTGAAAATATACAAATGCCCTTCAAGTGTCATTTAATTTTCTTTATCAACCATCCGCTAAAATCAAAACCAACCATCAAATTTTTCATTCCTACAACAACACTTTTGTCTTTCTTCTCTGAATATTTCATCATCTTCGGACCAAAACCAAAGCAATTTTTGAGAGAAAAGTTTCCCTTTAATTATTGTAATTATCTTATCTGAAAAACGAAAAAAGAGAAAAGTCTCTAGCCACCATCACTAATATATATATATATCCAAGTATCAAGACAAAGCTTTCAGTTCTTCTCCTATATTTTACCTATAGGAATAAAATATTATTGTGTTAAGTTAAAAAAAATAAAAAAATAAGTTGTATAAAACCTGGAATTTTCTGTTATTGGAAAATACTTGCAACAACTTTGCCACAAAGTTGTTGCAAGTGTTTGTGACAAAGAACTTGGGCTCTGTTTCAGAGAGCTTGGCTCTATTGCAAGGGTTTTGGTGTTTATGATAGAGAGCTTGGGCTCTATTGAAGAATATGATGAATAGTATATTTTATTTCCAATGGTGATTTTGACATTTTCAAAAGTATTAAGTCGCACATGAGGTCATGTGATATACATAACTGACGGTCCACTAACGGCATGTATTAGATTGCCACGTTTCGAATGTTTGGGTACTGGATTGTCGCATTTTAAAGTTCAGGGACCAAATTGTCACTCGAGCCAAAGTACAAGGTGTTGATCGAGAATTTTCCCTAAAATTTATTCCTATTTGTCACACTTATTTTTGTTTGGTATGATGAATAAAAAATATTAGAGATGTAGCCAAATGTTTTCTCTAATTTTCTTGTATATTTTATACTTCTGTGTGTTTTTACCTTATTTTCAAATGTCATTATTATTTAAATATGGGAGCAAGGGTTGGCACATTTTGACCTAAAAGGTTGAATTGTTGACTTGACACCAAATAGGAAAAGAATTTCATTTTTTGTTTTAAATTTGTATTTTACTTTTATCATAAATAAAACAATTATTATTTGTCACATGCTTTTAATATGGTTACTTACAATAGGATTCAATGAAATAATATGGATTAATACCCTAAATCTATACTACTTTTAAAAGTATGAATAACCACTAAGAATTTCTTGAATTTTACATTTGTATTAATGCTTTCAGATTTGAAAGCATTAATTCAAATCTGAAAGCATTAATACCCTAAATCTATTTTGCCCATTTGTATTAATGCTTTCAGATTTGAATTTGAGGACAAATTTGATATTATGTTGATTGTTTTAAATAAATTACTTAAATGAAATGTATATGAAATTTCATCATCGAGTGTTTAGTTGTATGTATTTATCTCTTTTTTTAATTAATAATGAATTATAACTAAAATTTCATGAAGTGTTTAGCTAGATGTAGCTCTCGCTTGCTATTAATTAATATTGAACAAAATCATTGTTATTTGGTCATCTTTAAAAGTATGCTCAATTGTCACTATTTGATGATTTTAAAATGTGAATTTTGAGGGTGGTTCCACAATTTTGATTATGGTTTTTGAGTTAGCTTTTCCATTGGTTTATAAGTAGTTTTTACTCAATCTCAAGATGTTTAAGTGGGCCTCATCCGAAATATTCATTTCAAAAAGTCAGTTTGTTTTTCTAAAAAGAAAATCAGATAGGGTTTAAAAATTGATTTCTAAGATTATGAGCATCTCAATATCAACAAACAAAGAAAAATACATGGGTGCCCCAATTATTCAAGGATTAGTTGATAAGAAGGCTTTGAACATCATAATTAAAATTAAGAAGAAAATTTATGGTTGGAAATTGAAAATTGTTTTTAAAGATGATAGAATGATCAATGTCAAATAAATTTTGAATGGAGTTATTCTATTTACAAGGCGCCAACTAGCTAGTTAGTAAGGTCTCTTGGATCAAATCCCACGTGCACCTAAGTTAGGGGTTATAGGTTTGGGGAATGGGTCGGCCACCTCAATGAGTAGCCCCATAGAGCAAAAAATAAAAAATAAAATGTAATTCATCTATTTCAAATGATGTTCAAATGAACATACCCCCAAAAAGATTGATAAAATTCAAAGTCAATTATTTCAAGGCTCAAGAGAAGGCAAGGGAGCAATTGTAAGACAAGTTAGAAAAAACTTTACAAATTAATGACTTATTTTTTGGAAAATCACTAAAAAGCCCTAGAGTTTTTGGAAAATATATAAGAAGTATTTTTTCCTTTTGTGTTAATGCTTTTGTATTTGAATTTGAGGGCAAAACAAGTATTTTGTTGATTATTTAAAATGAGATCAAAATAAAACAAATTGAGTCCTCCATTGTTAATTTCTTGTTGACTTATATAAGAGGATAAAAAAGGAATTATTTTATGCTTCTTAAATAACTACACAACATGTCTTTTTTTTTTTTTGATAATGCACAATGTGTCTAAGTAGACATCTATAAATTACAAAACTTAATGAGTTGTAATTGAAATTGCACGGAGTATTTAGCTTGACAAATTTAATTACTCTAGACACTTGGAGCCACATGTTGATTTGTAGATGAATTACAAATTACTTAGGATCTATAAAAAGTGATAATAGATCTTTAAGGCTTTTTGACTTTTTCTTGACTTAAAATAGTCCCTCTCTCTATCTCTATTATGAAGATATAAATTATAAATAGAATACTAATTTTCATTTCATTTTATTCTCTCTCATTAAGTTTCATATTTAAGGTTAACTTCCATTTTCTCATAGAATCATACGTTTTATATATTTTTTGTTTCTCATCATAAAATTTCACTAATTAAATTTGCAAATAACAATTTTAATAGTATAAAAACTTATGTATTCAAAATCAACTTGGAAACAAAACCGGTTTTTTAGGTACAATAAATAAGAAGAATTTTTATGAATAATAGAAATGAAATACAAAATTTAAAACTTCCTTAGCAATGAAACCACTATCTTGTTTGTTAAATGATGGAAATGGAATACAAAAATTATTAAAAAAGAAAATTAATGTCTATTCCATCACCCTACTAAACAAATCGAATGATTAGCTAGGTCACCATGTTGTTGGTCAAGTCAATGCTTATTTACAAATAAGCGATTTGGTAGAAAATGAACCTAAAATCCTGGTCAAGTATTCAATTAGTATGACCGGGCTCTAGGCAAGTAATGGTTCAATCAAGGTTAAAAAAATCAACACGTATCGCCTGATACGTATCATATTGGGAGCACCCCGATACGCCCCTATAGAGGGTGTATCAAGGTTATGACTGGTTCAGGGGGTGGAGGAATCTTAAACCGGCCCCTGAACCGGTTTTGAAAAAAAAAAGTATCGATACTGCCTGATACGCCCCTACTGACGTATCGATATTTAGAACCTTGAGTTCAATTATCACAATAAATTGAAAATATATATAAGCTATATAGTAAAAAGATTTGGTACAAGTCTTTAAGCCGAAATGCAATAAATCACCAATACAATTATTGTTGTTGTTGTTGTTATCATTTGAAATTGTCACGTGCAAAGCAGTGCACATTTACTAGCATTTTAATGAGAGGAAATTGAATTAGGAGAAATGTAGTAGTTCAAATTACATGTTGTGCCATCATAATTAGAGATGGGCCAAAATCCAAAATAGGGATATACTAGTCAAAAATAGGATTCAATGAATATTAATGGGAATTAATACCTTAAATATAAGGCTTGATGAGGGATATTTGAATGAATAGAAAAGTAATTGTTCAAATTGCATTTATATCCTTACAATTAAAAAGGGACCAAATCCAAAAATTGGGGTACTTTAGAGAGAGAAATAGGGAGGGACAATGTTTTCTCCTTCTTTCATATGTGGCGCCTAATGGTGCATAGGTGATTCTAGATATCAATTTAAGTGATGGTCATTGCAAGAGAAAAATGGTACTAGTACCAAACATAGCTGTCCTAATTACTAATCGAGACAAAACCATATAACTAATGCTAATTACAATTCAATTAGTTGTGTAAAACTGACCCATTGACAATCCTATGGAGGAGAGTGTTGGCCCTGGAAGTATAGGGTAGTCCTTGTATTTTATCTTTTCTTTAGTTTTGCTTTCTTATTG